GTAAACCTTCAATAGTATAGCAAAATAAGTTATTCATGATTTTGGCAACAGTGATGATAAAAATCATGATCTCACTTTAATACAATTTTAACAATCCAAAACAAAACGCCTGGCTATATAGCTTGTAAAACATGATTATTTAGAATTCTTAACTATTAGATCAATATTAGCACTAAGTAAAACTTTCATACAACATTTTATTGCCGAAGAAGGAAAATTGAAACGTTAAAAAGGGATTATAAGCTGTCGTGACATAAATTTCCTCATCAAAAATTGTTCCAAGAGATCCACTTTCGTAAATGTACAAGTAAGCACAAAGATAGACTTACCCTGTTATCGAGTTTATTATCAATAAAACGTGCTTCTAACAGTTCTCTTCGTTGAGGATCTAAACCTTGAAGACTAGTTAAGGAACTACCAGACTCTCGTCCTAAACAAAACAGTTAAAATTTACAAAGTTCATCTGCATAAGTCGCTGTTTCAAAAATTCAGAAACCTTCCATGGAGGAAAATTGCAAGCTTTTTCTACTGCGACTTAAATGTGATTTTGATTCATTGCTAAGGTGCAAAGAAAATTCTTGAGAAGGTGAAACAACATTTTTCAACTCGCGTGAATCAGCCATTGAAATTTGAAAAGTTGCGAAAACAATAGCAAAATCGCGCAGGAAGTTAGCCAATCATATAAACAAAAGTGCTTGTTTTATACGTAAAATTCTCTCACTCCATAGCCGGGCGTGGTGGCGTGCGCCTGTAACCGAGCTGCTCTCGGGGCTGGTGGTGTAGAACGTCTTGAGGTTGGGATTCCTGTTGCATATTATCCTATGTTGATCGGGTGTCCATGCTAAGCTAGGCGTCAATATGGTGATCAGTAGGGAACTTCAGATCACCAGGTTGAATAAAGAGGAACGTACTGGTCAAGGATGGAAACATAGCAGACAAAAGTTCCCGCGTCAAGCAGTAGTGGGATAGCACTTGTGAATAGGAATTATGTGACAGCCTAATCAATACAGCCGAACCCATTACCTTTTTAATTTATTTATTAAATTATTGTTTAATTAGTTTTAATAAACTGACGGTATCCATAATTGTTTATTGTTTATTTTGACAGCAAGGTTAACAAGCTTTGAAGAGATTTACATTGCATTTTGCACCATGTGTAATGTGTTCCATCCCTTTCTGTGAAGTAAAGTTTGAAGAAATAAGAACATTGTCTATTCATGAAACAATCTCAATCCCACTCTTAGCAGTAAAAAAAACGCCAACAAAACCAGGATTCCAACAGAATCATAGACATTTAAAATTTCTGCTCAGCCTGAAGCTTATGTTGCAAATTTGAAGTGGAATGTTACTTCAATATTTTAATGGCATTTGGAAGATACTTTATTTATAATGAAAACACATTTGTTTGGCGGTTGATTAAGTTATTGTATAAGTATTGAATGCAACGGCAACTTAAGGAACTACTGTTGATGGAGAAAGTTCAAAAACCATTATTATATCTTTTTAAATGGGTATTTGTACATGACATAACGAATGTGCTGGGCGTGGTGGCGTGCGTCTGTAACCGAGTTGCTCTCGGGGCTGGTAGTGTAGAACATCTTGAGGTTAGGATTCCTGTTGCATATTATCCTATGTTGATCGGGTGTCCATGCTAAGCTAGGCGTCAATATGGTGATCAGTAGGGAACTTCAGATCACCAGGTTGAATAAAGAGGAACGTACTGGTCAAGGATGGAAACATAGCAGACAAAAGTTCCCGCGTCAAGCAGTAGTGGGATAGCACTTGTGAATAGGAAATATGTGACAGCCTAATCAATACAGCCGAACCCATTACCTTTTTAATTTATTTATTAAATTATTGTTTAATTAGTTTTAATAAACTGACGGTATCCATAATTGTTTATTGTTTACTTTGACAACAAGGTTAACAAGCTTTGAAGAGATTTACATTGCATTTTGCACCATGTGTAATGTGTTCCATCCCTTTCTGTGAAGTAAAGTTTGAAGAAATAAGAACATTGTCCATTCATGAAACAATCTCAACCCCACTCTTAACAGTAAAAGAAACGCCAACAAAACCAGGATTCCAACAGAATCATAGACATTTAAAATTTCTGCTCAGCCTGAAGCTTATGTTGCAAATTTGAAGTGGAACGTTACTTCAATATTTTAATGGCATTTGGAAGATACTTTATTTATAATGAAAACACATTTGTTTGGCGGTTGATTAAGTTATTGTATAAGTATTGAACGCAACGGCAACTTAAGGAACTACTGTTGATGGAGAAAGTTCAAAAACCATTATTATAACTTTTTAAGTGGATATTTGTACATGACATAACAAATGTGCTGGGCGTGGTGGCGTGCGTCTGTAACCGAGCTACTCTCGGGGCTGGTAGTGTAGAACGTCTTGAGGTTGGGATTCCTGTTGCATAGTATCCTATGTTGATCGGGTGTCCATGCTAAGCTAGGCGTCAATATGGTGATCAGTAGGGAACTTCAGATCACAAGGTTGAATAACGAGGAACGTACTGGTCAAGGATGGAAACATAGCAGACAAAAGTTCCCGCGTCAAGCAGTAGTGGGATAGCACTTGTGAATAGGAAATATGTGACAGCCTAATCAATACAGCCGAACCCATTACCTTTTTAATTTATTTATTAAAGTATTGTTTAATTAGTTTTAATAAACTGACGGTATGCATAATTGTTCATTGTTTATTTTGACAGCAAGGTTAACAAGCTTTGAAGAGATTTACATTGCATTTTGCACCATGTGTAATGTGTTCCATCCCTTTCTGTGAAGTAAAGTTTGAAGAAATAAGAACATTGTCTATTCATGAAACAATCTCAATCCCACTCTTAGCAGTAAAAAAAACGCCAACAAAACCAGGATTCCAACAGAATCATAGACATTTAAAATTTCTGCTCAGCCTGAAGCTTATGTTGCAAATTTGAAGTGGAATGTTACTTCAATATTTTAATGGCATTTGGAAGATACTTTATTTATAATGAAAACACATTTGTTTGGCGTTTGATTAAGTTATTGTATAAGTATTGAACGCAACGGCAACTTAAGGAACTACTGTTGATGGAGAAAGTTCAAAAACCATTATTATATCTTTTTAAATGGGTATTTGTACATGACATAACGAATGTGCTGGGCGTGGTGGCGTGCGTCTGTAACCGAGTTGCTCTCGGGGCTGGTAGTGTAGAACGTCTTGAGGTTGGGATTCCTGTTGCATAGTATCCTATGTTGATCGGGTGTCCATGCTAAGCTAGGCGTCAATATGGTGATCAGTAGGGAACTTCAGATCACCAGGTTGAATAAAGAGGAACGTACTGGTCAAGGATGGAAACATAGCAGACAAAAGTTCCCGCGTCAAGCAGTAGTGGGATAGCACTTGTGAATAGGAAATATGTGACAGCCTAATCAATACAGCCGAACCCATTACCTTTTTAATTTATTTATTAAATTATTGTTTAATTAGTTTTAATAAACTGACGGTATCCATAATTGTTTATTGTTTATTTTGACAGCAAGGTTAACAAGCTTTGAAGAGATTTACATTGCATTTTGCACCATGTGTAATGTGTTCCATCCCTTTCTGTGAAGTAAAGTTTGAAGAAATAAGAACATTGTCCATTCATGAAACAATCTCAACCCCACTCTTAACAGTAAAAGAAACGCCAACAAAACCAGGATTCCAACAGAATCATAGACATTTAAAATTTCTGCTCAGCCTGAAGCTTATGTTGCAAATTTGAAGTGGAACGTTACTTCAATATTTTAATGGCATTTGGAAGATACTTTATTTATAATGAAAACACATTTGTTTGGCGGTTGATTAAGTTATTGTATAAGTATTGAATGCAACGGCAACTTAAGGAACTACTGTTGATGGAGAAAGTTCAAAAACCATTATTATATCTTTTTAAATGGGTATTTGTACATGACATAACGAATGTGCTGGGCGTGGTGGCGTGCGTCTGTAACCGAGTTGCTCTCGGGGCTGGTAGTGTAGAACATCTTGAGGTTAGGATTCCTGTTGCATATTATCCTATGTTGATCGGGTGTCCATGCTAAGCTAGGCGTCAATATGGTGATCAGTAGGGAACTTCAGATCACCAGGTTGAATAAAGAGGAACGTACTGGTCAAGGATGGAAACATAGCAGACAAAAGTTCCCGCGTCAAGCAGTAGTGGGATAGCACTTGTGAATAGGAAATATGTGACAGCCTAATCAATACAGCCGAACCCATTACCTTTTTAATTTATTTATTATATTATTGTTTAATTAGTTTTAATAAACTGACGGTATCCATAATTGTTTATTGTTTATTTTGACAGCAAGGTTAACACGCTTTGAAGAGATTTACATTGCATTGTGTACCATGTGTAATGTGTTCCATCCCTTTCTGTGAAGTATGTGACAGCCTAATCAATACAGCCGTACCCATTACCTTTTTAATTTATTTATTAAATTATTGTTTAATTAATTTCAATAAATTAACTGTATACATAATTGTTTATTGTTTATTTTGTCATTCCGTGAAGTAAAGTTTGAAGAAATAAGAACGTTGTCATTCATAAAATAACGAGAAAACCAAGATCCCTACAGAACAACAGACAGTGAAAATATCAACTTACCTATGTTGCTAGATTTGAAGTGTAACGTTGATTCAGTGAAATTATGAAGATATTTCATTTACAATGATAACACGTCTGTTAATTGGCTCGATGATATCAATATATACGTATGCAGGCATACTTCTTATAAAAGTAAATTACTCACAGGAATATGTATGTCATAATCTGTCCTATTTTTTAACAGTTTGGAGAAATATGAAGCTTGGGAAACTACTCAAGATATATGAATAGTGATAAAAATTGTAATTTGAAATAATTTGATTTGTATAATTGGGATGTATAATTGTTGAAACAAAATGTACAACACAACATTAATATATATTTGTCAATGATAACCAAGTTCCTCAACAGATTAGAATTATGCAATTTATTTCGCAAACCAATAACATATATATATATATATGGCAATAACGCATCCACTACCATCCCAAGTCATTAAATAAAAAACGTTATTCCTTTAGCTCTAAATAACTATTTTTTAAGTTATATATCTATGGCTTCATTTTACATGTAGATTCCACCTAAAAACGTAAAAAAAATTATTTAAAAATAATTTTCATAAAAGAGAAGATTGTATTTAATGTTTTCACACCAGTAACTTCGATGTTGGCTCCCGTTATGTAACTACTCTCAGTTGAGGCAAGAAAATAAGCAGCATTTGCAACGTCTGAAAAAAATAAATAATGCATAAGTACATTATGATGCGAAAAAAGCCATAGTAAATGACGTACTGAAAATATATAATGGACTTTTCTCATACCTTCTGAGCTACCAAGTCGTTTCAGAGGTATAGCAGACGTAAACTATGAGCACATATAAAAATCATCATGATCAACAAACAAGGAATGTTTTACTTGCTCAAGTCAACATAAGCAGGACAAGTTAACATATATAAATGACCAAAGGCTAACAACAAAATGCCTGAACTAAAAAACCAACTGTACAGAAAATGCTCCGTCGCTTTAGCTTAAGTTCACACAAAATGTTTTGCTACAAGAAAATAACGAGTAGACAAAATCTATTTACATATCTTAATATGATACAATTGAACAAAAATAATGTCACATATAAGTGCAAAGCAAGATTGTTGTAGTTAGAAATTCTAACTTTCGTCCGCACTAAAGTTTCTCAGATGTGGAAAGCGGCGCTAAAGAGAGCATTTACGGTATTCCATAGTGCCACAATAATAAAATGCTGTTTTCATGTCATACTGTTGTCTACAATCTGCTGCACAAAGTATAATCAAATACAGCTTGCCTGACGATTATCATCTAGCGTCTCCTTTACAGATTATTATCTACAACCTGTTTTATAGACTGGGTAACCATCTACAACCTGTTTTATAGACTGGGTAACCATCTACAACCTGCTTTATATACTGGATAACCATCTACAACCTGCTTTATAGACTGGGTAACCATCTACAACCTGCTTTATAGACTGGGGAATTATCTACAACCTGCTTTATAGACTGGGTAACCATCTACAACCTGCTTTAGAGACTGGGTAACCATCTACCACCTGCTTTAGAGACTGGGTAACCATCTACAACCTGCTTTATATACTGGATAACCATCTACAACCTACTTTATATACTGGATAACCATCTACAACCTGTTTTATAGACTGGGTAACCATCTACAACCTGTTTTATAGACTGGGTAACCATCTACAACCTGCTTTATATACCGGATAACCATCTACAACCTGCTTTATATACTGGGTAACCATCTACAGCCTGCTTTATAGACTGGATAACCATCTACAGCCTAAATGATAGTCTATCATATGTTGCCCTTCTATAAAGAAATTGAATGCAATACCTTATTTATTAATTTTGGAGGTATTGTATTTAACATGGACGTTTGTATAAAACCAGGTGAAATAATATTGCACCGAATGCCATATCTGAAAAAATACAAGTTTAACTTGATTACTTTAATTTCTTCTTGTCTTATTTTAGAAATTAGAACTTAAAAAAATGCGAATCTTCCTCGGCCATCATACATACTGCACGTACAATATTTCGCTATTTGACAATATAATTATGAAGAGAAATACATTGCAGTATTTAATTAGAAATAAACTCTGAATTGAAAAATTTTGATTCGAAATTGGTCAACAATTAATGCTCTTGACAAAGCTTGCAATTTTAGTGATTTCGTGACTTCTCTGACTCAAACTTTGCTTTGCTGTTTTACTACATGTTGCTATACATGTTTAATTGTTAAAGAAGCAGTAAACCTATTCGCGTCTTTTCTAGCTACAAACCTAAAACATTGAAGAAATAATATTCACATTGTCTTTAAAGACATTTGACGCAAGGAAGAAAGCAAAAATTAAAGTTTAAACATGCCCCAATTGTTATTCAAAGTTGTTTAGGTATAGTTGTTAAGACAACTAAACAGTATTTGTTTTGTAGAAGTGTTTAAAATACATAATACGTAGCTTAATTGCGTGAAAAACAATCTATATTCAAAACCGTGGCAAAGCGAATTTTCACTATGAACATGAAAGCCCAACATACGATTTTAAAAGAGCCATTAAAAGAATAAGTTGGAAAAATAATCGGTTCTTTTAATGATGACGTCTCATCTTTAAATTAACACATCTTCAGATACAATAAACAATTATTAAGGCCCGTTCACACTATACAATTTGTCGGATCCTAAAAAACGGATTGTGTGAACACATATAAAGTGAGCCTTCGACAGTCGGATCCGTCAATATGAAAAATCGGATGGAAATAGAACTTGCTCTATTTTCATCATACAATATCAAAGGAAGCCAACTACTCAAATTACACACGTAGTTTTGACAAAGACTTGGAAACAAGAACAAAAATACAAAAAATATATCGATAAATGTGCTGGATAAAACAAATGGCTTTTCACACGACTATAAATATCTAAATGAATATAATTAATAAATATGAACAAAATCATCGGACCGTCTAAACAAGCAACCAAAAGTCAGAACCTAAACAATTGGATCTGACAAATCGGATTGTGAAATGCAATACTCAAAAATTTCCTTGTCATAACTTGATACATGCACAAAATGCACATGCAATATGACTGTCCCTTAATGATGAACTGGTAAATCATTTATGAAATGATTGATATGCATGTTAAAACATGAACATATTATACATCAAAACATATTGTGAAAAACTAAGTTAACAAAAGATACAAGATAGGTAAACTTACATAGCTAATTCTTTAGCACATGTCCGAGTCATAGCTTCAATGGCTGCTTTTGACGCAACATAGTTAGCTTGGCCAAGATTGCCAACCTGAAAAAAATACAATGTGATTGTAAAGCAACATGCAAGTCTAAATAAACAATGTTTATGGTACTATACATTTCATACGTATTTATAAATGACTTGCATTAAGTATATTCAATAATTTTGAAATTCATGAACTAATTAGTATTTCAGTTTTTTATACATTTATAGTACAAGATTGGTATATTTTTGATAGAATGGCCAATTATCCTAATATTTGATATTGAAACAAAATGAAAAACATATTTTGCATACTGATCAAATTGACAACTGATGATTGAAGAAAAATCTGTCGAAAGCATATCATACATGTTTAAAAAACAAAAAACTCCATTCAGTCAGATGAATATAAAGTCTTATTTAAAAGATGTTATTTTAAGAAATTAGATATTCAACATTGACATACATACCTTTCCTGAGATACTACCAATGCTAACAATTGAACCATTTTCAACTTTTGACTCAATCATACCTCTTGCTGATGCTTGAATCATTAAAAATGTTGCCTAAAATTATCAAAAACATGGTAAGCATGTTATAACTTCTACATTAAAATATACCTTTACTAATGAATGTAAATCTGAAACAAAACTAACTCAATTTTTTGCTGTTAGAAAAGCTTCAAGGATATGGTAGGAATAGCACAATTTTTATTGTGAACTTTGGAAAATATAATGGCAAAGCAATAATTTTTGTTCAATTCTCTCATACAAACAGAATTAAATTTATGAAAAATGCAATTTTTTCACCTAAGGCCTTTACTGATCAAGAAAAGTTAGCAAATGCATCAAATATTAGATTTTGTTTCAAGCTATATCTTGAAACTGGCCATGTCAATGGTGGCTTAAAATTAATGGCCCAGCAAACTCAACAATTTGAGTGGGGGGGGGGGCACTAATTCATATATTTGTGTTATAATCCACCGAAAACAACGGATTTCAACATGACAGAACATGAAGACATAATTATGCACACCAATTGTGAGTTTGCTATGAAACTGGCCATGTCAATGAACTTTCCCAATTATATTCATGAAGTTAATATAAAATACTTCATGCGTATAATGCATAAGAAAAACTACTGTGGCACAAACCTTTAAATTAACATTTATAACTTCATCAAATGAATCCTCATTCATTTTGATTAGAAAATCATCCCTTGTTATGCCATGACAGTTGATTGCTATGCAAGGATATCTTTTATAAATTTCTTGGATATTTGCCATACATTGATGGATCTCTTTGGCAGAGGTGACATCCAGTTTATAATGGGAATGTTTCAAATCCCCCATGGTACTTAAATTCTCCACAGTCTTCAATGCATTACTGCCTTCAATATCCACAGCAATCACAGATGCACCCTCATTGGCCAATCTTTGACATATGGCTATACCAATACCGCCACCAGCACCTTAAAAAAATGATTCTGTGAAGTTTTGATAAAACACACATTAAAAATTACAAAGAGATCATGCAAAATCATTTCCTAAATAAACTATTCTATTAAATAGCCAGTTTTGAGCATAGCCAAATACATTGGTTATATATAAAGATATATATTACTACATGTTAATGCTATGACTTTGCTAATTGTGTGCTTCTGTACACGTAAATTTTTCATAAGTTCAATACATCTTCCAACAAAATCACAATTTTTTTTTCAAAATATGATCAAGATTGCGTGCGTGAATTGTACTTTGATCATTTATTTTATAGTTCTCAGTGTGATGTCAAACATTTAACTGTTGGACACAGGACATAAACGTCACAATACACAGCAATACTTGTTGTGTAAGATGGTAATAACACATTACAAATATTTTCATAAAAGCAACAAAAACAATTCATCGAAAATATAATGGCTATTGTAAATAAAACAAAATTTCGCATAATTGCAAAATGATCATCAAAAATAATTTCACAATTCATGATTTCTATAGTGAACAATGACAGGCACAATTAAACATGAGAAGCTTTAGGCCATGTGCAAAAAAATGCTTTAAAGTTTGACCACAATATCCTTCACAGAATAGCAAAAAAGCGAACGTAATCTTTAATTTATGGCCACATCATATATCAATAAATTTTGTATCTCAATCACGAAATATGAGATACAGAGCGTTCTTCAATATTATAGGACATAAGATGCTGTACAATACAATAAGTCTTTCCACTTGTCTAATTACTTGCCTGTAACTAACGCTAAACGTCCAGCTAAATTACGGACCAACTTGCTCGCCATTGTCAACAACCATTTATTACTTGTCTTTTATCGTCTCCAGCTAAAGATTTCCTCAATAACGTCATTACGTCATGAAATGTCACACTATATGTAGCTTCAAAGCTGTGGGAGAGCACGTGTTGTGAAATATTAAGTAAATGAAACAGCGATACGAATATACAAGTAAATATTGTATGAAAAACTAATGAATCTTGATCGAGATGTCGTTTATGCCTAATTATAATTATTTTTAACCCTAACAACTTGTCAGGACTTACCAGAGAAGCACTTTGGCTGAGTTGAAACTTGTGGACTGGGTGCTAGTTCTTTACAAAACAATGGCTTTGTTTTTCGGAAACAAAAAATATGTTGCGCGTTTCTTCCATTGTTTCTTTTAGATTGTGCATGGAAGCGCGAACAGCTGTTGTCGTATTTTAGTGACACAAGAAAAAAATGCCTTTGCTAATGAAAGTCAATCTGAAACAACTCTAACAAGACTAACTCGTTGTTCATTGCTAGCAAAAAAGCTTCATGGAGTTGGTAGAAATAGCGCAATTTTTACTATAAAACATCAATTTTCAACTTTAGTTTTGCGGAAACAATAAATATATTTTGGTCTAGATTTTGCTTAGCAGTGCGAATTAGGCAGCGCGAACAATAACACAAGGAAAAATATTAATTAATATTTGTTCAAGTCAAAACAGGTTTTCACATGAAAAGTCTTGTTCTACATTCAGGAAAAGTGGAAAATTGCGTTGTTGATTCAATAAAAAATAGGAAATGAAAGCAATCTTGTTGTTTGCATTGTTATTTCAATTTATCGATCTCATATTGATTATAAATAACCTTGTCAAATATATAGAAGTTAAAATCTAAAATAGTATTTAAAAATTAATCGTAGTTTCATACATGACTTTTAGCTAATTTGTACGCAAAAATCTAGTATCGACTCCATTTTATTAAATTTCTTAATGAAATCAGTGTTCAAGAACAAAATATATGTAACTGTTCAGCTGTTTCTCTCATTTGACAAAGTGTATTTAAAAAGTGATTTCTATGGTTTTTATGAAGGAAACATGATCTTGATTGTCAACAATATAAATAAGTAATGTTAAAACATGGCTGGTTGCTGAAAGAATATTATGCTTTAAAGTGGTTGTTGTGAGGTTAACCAGTTTTCTTATGAGACCAGCTGTGTAGATCGTTGAAACGTTTCACACCAGATGTAAGCACTTTGATTTGACAATTTGCTTCTCTATGCTTAAAAATTAATCAGTTTGACAAAAAGACGCTGTAGCGTTCTTCTTCTGAAAGTTGTGTACGTCACTTGAAATTCAGCTTCAGACCAAACGCTTATAAGAATCGAAATTTTCTAGTCTTACAACAATGGTATGTATAACACATTCAGTACAAAGACTCAACTCCACCTATACTGTGACTTGCTTAGCGATTAGGAAAATTTGTTTTAAGTTTTGTTAACGAGCGAAGAGCTTATCGTTTTATATTTTTCAATTTTATCATTGCGCAATAATTTAAGAAGTATCTGCTTCATTTGTTTGTCCATGGTGCTACAATGCTTTAACATTTTACTTTTAGCGTGAGTGTCTTTCAATTCATGTGGGTCAAGCTGGAGCTCAAATTGGCAATTCATGTTGGGAGCTGTATTGTTTGGAGCATGGCATTCAACCTGATGGAATGATTGTGAATAATACAAAAGGAAAGAATGGAGGGGACACTTTCTCAACATTTTTCAGTGAAACGAATTCCGGAAAACATGTTCCAAGGGCAATTTTTGTGGATTTGGAACCTACAGTTTTAGGTATTCTTAGCTATAAAAAAGTCGGAGGAAATAATCAAATTATAGCTAGAGAATGTGGACTATTTATGTTGTTCTTTGTTACCAAAAATTTATTATGAAACTTCTTAGAAATTTAATAACCGCACAACTACATTAAGTCAGTTTTATAAAATCATTTCAAACAAAGCCATTATAATGTAGTCAACGCGTACAGCTCCAGGATAAAGTTGTTCATTCCAATAATTTAAAAACATATTTTTAGATGAAATTCGTGTGGGAAGCTATAAATCTTTATTTAGCCCAGAAATGCTCATTAGTGGGAAAGAAGACGCTGCCAATAACTATGCAAGAGGACATTACACCATTGGCAAAGAGCTTGTTGATAAAGTTTTGGATAAAATTAGAAAACAGGCATGATTTTTATTTTTTATTCATGTAATGGTAGAGTTTTTTTGATCAATTCTTCCGGCAAAAAGTATGTCAATGTAATACACTAACATTACCAAGGTCTCGATTAGTTCTTGTAAACTAAATTACACAAGGTCAGGCCTGCGCACAAGCCTCACATAGTCTGGCCCATTTGTAAGCCAAGAGCATCGTTAGCTGTTTTTTACTTTTAAAAATTTTATTCTATCATGCACTAAACTTTAATTCTTTCCATTAGTACAGCATAGATCTCATTAAATTATATATTTTTCTAGATTTAATGGAACAGTTGTAGTATTTGTTTTTGTGCTTTTAGGCAGATCAATGCACTGGCCTTCAAGGATTCTTAATATTTCATTCATTTGGAGGTGGTACAGGTTCTGGTTTCACTTCATTGCTCATTGAACGACTATCCATTGAGTATGGGAAAAAATCAAAACTGCAATTTGCCATTTACCCTGCTCCTCAGATCTCCACTGCCGTAGTCGAACCATACAACTCTATTCTTACAACTCATACTACAATGGAGCATTCAGATTGCTGTTTTATGGTCGATAATGAAGCTATTTATGATATCTGCCGAAGAAATCTGAGTATTGAAAGGCCAACGTATACCAATCTCAATCGTCTTATCGGTCAGATTGTCTCTTCAATAACTGCATCTCTACGTTTTGATGGTGCACTAAATGTAGATCTTACAGAGTTCCAAACAAACCTGGTTCCTTATCCGCGAATTCATTTTCCCCTTGCAACGTACGCCCCAGTCATTTCTGCCGAGAAAGCCTATCATGAGCAATTTTCAGTTGCTGAGATCACAAATGCATGCTTTGAACCAGCCAATCAGATGGTGAAATGTGATCCACGTCACGGAAAATACATGGCATGTTGTTTGTTGTATCGTGGAGACGTTGTACCTAAAGATGTAAACTCAGCCATTTCTACAATCAAGACAAAACGTACCATTCAGTTTGTTGATTGGTGTCCTACTGGTTTCAAAGTTGGTATCAACTATCAACCTCCTACTGTGGTACCAGATGGTGATCTTGCCAAAGTTCAACGAGCTGTTTGCATGTTAAGCAATACCACAGCCATTTCAGAGGCATGGGCCCGACTTGATCATAAATTTGATCTGATGTACGCCAAGCGGGCCTTTGTTCACTGGTATGTAGGTGAAGGCATGGAAGAAGGCGAGTTCTCTGAAGCTCGAGAAGACTTGGCTGCTTTAGAGAAAGATTATGAAGAAGTTTTGGAAGAAATTGACGGAGAAGAGAGTGATAAAGATGAAGATTACTGAATGAAATAATTTACTGTCTTTTGAATGTTTAGCAAAAATAAAAATAAACAAAAATTTAAGCTGAAGTATACATTTAAATAGAGATCGAATGTTGTTATCAAACAGCACATCAATTCTGTGGTTAAATTGTCTTTATTTATGATCATAGCATTTGGTCTACAGTAGAAAATCCAATCAAATAAAATACTTTGATAGTTTTCAAACATAATGGTAGTTTTCAATTGCCAAAACCTCACTGAGAACTTCTTCACACGTAGACAGAACCATTTCCAAAAGACGAAAATCAATGTTAAAATTCTGGCTACGTTTCATTTAATGTGGTGTAGTGTAGTTCATATTTACAATGAAACAAATTTCGTTTTTAAGTTCGTTAAATCATAGATAGAGCTAGGTCTAGTATAAAACCAGGTGCAAAAGGTGATATTAATTTGTAGTTGCCATAGAGATAACTTAGTAGTGACGTACTCATTCATTGGTAGTTTATATCTTGTGGCAGCGTTAAAATTAATATGCGTATTTAATAATATTTCTCGTTAAATTACGAAAAGACAGAACCATACAAGGTTTTTTAGTATTTCATTTGTTCGTGTCCAGGGTTTCTACTCTATTTTTGTATGTTATAGCATATTTCTCAAATATTTCTTTGTAATTTTATTCACTCTCATGAAAATATTATTCAAACAGAATGTATAAGAGTGATTATCAATTGTCAGTAATTGAAAACAAAGTAAAAAATCTTCGAATGCAACTATCACTGCATCTGCTATTGGGTGTTACTGGATATTAAAAATTTACACTCTATTATTGAGTATAAGAAATAACTATTTTATATGTTCTTATTGGAGCATTTTTTCTTAGTTGCCATCGACGTTGTCTTAGTAGAAATGCTCTAAAAACCATAACATAAGTTGCAAGATAATGACAACAAGAATAATTAACAATAAATGTGGGACTCTTCGTAAATTAAACACAGCAAGAATCAAGCAAATATTATTCAGAGTTATTTCAAGTTAGTTACCTTAGAAGCGTGTGATCGACCAGTCTTTCTTTTTATCTTGGGCAAGGAAATTTGACTTGTCGGACTAGAACATTTGAAGCAAAATACTTTTGATTAATAATAAGTTCCATATCCTGATAATTTAGCAATAATCTCCAACAATTCCTATATGACTTTTACAGTTATAAAACACAAAAACTGGTAACTAACCTTATGCCATAATTTTCAAGCAGTCTCGTGCTTGCTGGGGCTGAAAGTGATCTTGAGACTGGTGACTGGTAAGATTGATCACTTGAGATTTGTTGAGGTGATACCCACTATAGTAAAAACGTATAATTTAAGTAAAAAACAAACGATAAATAAAACATGTAAGCAAATAAATTACTCCTTTGGTGGATGAAACAATATTCAACACAACAGTCGGTTGAGGGCATTTGTCACTAACTATAATCAAAACTTTTGCTGTCGCTAAAGTGTACTTAGAACTAAGTGCAATGATGGAGTATTTAAACCTGGTGATTTAGATCATAGCATGAAGATCTGAGATGAATGCCTTGTTGAGTGTAGGTACATAACAAAGCTACTCCTAAAATACAAAAGAAAAAATATTAGCTATATAAATGTAATATTTTTCTTCGCGTTCAAATAGAATGCGAAGAGCAAAAAAATCAAAATAAAAGTATGGTTGTTTGTCAACTCACCAATAGCAGTTCGATGTCCTTCCCTTAAATATTTTTTGGTCCATTCATCAAGCAAAATGTTGCGATACCTCTATAAAAAGAAGAAATTGAAGAATTAAATATGAATAAAAAAAAACATTTATTGTAGCTGGATTAAAGTCGAACTTACAGGTGAATCAAAAAAAGTCAAATATTTTTGAGAGGTTTCTGATGGAAATATTCTTTGAAAACAACCACGGCGACTGTACTACAAAACACATAACAATGTTTACCTCAAGACGCTTTCTACTACAAAAAAATCCTGGGGTAAAACATCTGTTTTTGTATAATTAAATACATCGCTTTACAATTAATTTACTTCAAATGCTGTATAGCTAAAAAATGGCGAGTTTCACTTACTTCATCCTCAGTCTCCGCTAAAATTTTTATATCTTCTGGGGTTAAGATGTCTAATATTGTTGCCTTCAGTCTCTTAAATGAAAAAAAATTGATAACACAGAAATCTACGACTGTGGGAACACATACAACTAAAAACTCGTACATCGTTACCATAATTGTTGACGTAAAACCCATGCTGTAAAGACATAAAAAATGAAAGAGTTAGCATTATTATTTTAAAAAATTCTCATTTTCTCTTTTCCTAGTTTCCATCCAATCAAACCGCTAATCATTTGTGATCGACAACGTCTTAAAAAACATGCCCAGTCACTTTTAGGGAATGGTGAAAATAGCTTGCTCACGTTGGCTATAAATTGTACTGACTTTACAAACCTTTGCCTTCTGATCAGACGTTAGAGCAAATCTTCCTTTGTCTAGTGAGCTCGGATTATTAAAGGAACTGCTTCTAAAAACAAATTTCGAGCGTAAATAATACAAGTCATGGTATATACATGTAGATTCATTTTTATCATCACACCTCATCGCTGTATTGAGTAGATTATCAGGAATTTTATAGCCAGAAATATTTAGCAAGTCTCGAACCATTTGACCTTTGATGCTCATATCCAGAGGAGATGTTGAATGTAAACTATAGGAAATTTTTAAATAAGTTGATGTTCATAAAATATTGCTTGTTATAAACAATGCATAAATATCTCTAATAGCTGATAAAACTGCACATTTTTTAGCGAAATCAAATTTGATGGTCCATATTTAAACGTTAGGTACTAAATCAAATAAAAATACTTCAGCCCTTCGACAACTTTGGCAGTACGACAAAATGAACGTGTGTCCAGAAAATAGATTTTCACAACAGAAAGATTGTTGACAAAAACAAGTGTTCACATATAGCTACGTAGCTACAACACGCGAAATATTTACAAAATACTTGAACCAAAGGTTCGGACAAAAACTCGAAATATTTACCAAAAACACAATTATAACAAATGTTAAATATGTGAAAATTCTAATTAAACTATAATTTTACCTTGGAGAAATATTGACCTCCAAAATCCACGGTTTCAAATTTTCATCGAGCATAACATCAAATCCAAATAATTCGTTGCAGCAATAACTAAAACATATGAAACGCATTTAAAAAATGAGAGCACATCTACATACACCAAGGGATGTACCGCATGCGTATCTCTTTACCAGGCTCTTTTTGAAGTAACGATGTCAACGTACATTTGAACACCAGACGAGTAGCTATAACTGTATAACATATTTTATTTAAAATACTTATTTTCAATACCTGTTTCGTACATTTTGTTTCATCAGTACATTTACTGTAGATTCACAGCTGTAAAATATTGTTAAAAACTTCTTAATTATTTTATCCATAAAGATTATGAAAAACTTACCTAATAATCACTTAAATGTCAATGCACTTGAAAGGACGTCAAAAATGAGTTACAATACATATTTTTAGGTTTTCGTCAACATTTTTATAGGTATTTTAAAGCGATACGTATGCCTAATCAAAGATTATAAGATTCCATTTAAGGTTACTATTACGCACTAGTTTCATTGTTCTCATTCATCGCTGCTGCAACAATTTGCTAAGTTGTTGGCCGTATTGAGAAATAGTTTAGTTGTAACAAGTGCATTGAAATACGTTTTAACAGATATAACAAACTAACCATATAACAGTTTTCACAACAATATCTTTAATATTTTCCCAAATTTTGGACGTATTCACTCCACTCCGTTTTAGGTAGCCCCAAAGGGCTTTCAGAGACCTAAATTTAATCGAATGTAACTACATTAGGAAACGACGCAGAGCACTAAACGTCACGAAGAATAAAGAACGAGAAACGTTTTATACCATTTATGTCCCTGACAAACTTCTTCGTTATCATTAGGAGTATAAACATTATTATTCTTCTTGTTTATACTATAGTTTGTTAAATGCATAAATCTGTTGCCCAGACTTTTACTAGATGAAGTATATCTAAAACAATAATTTAAGCGGATATTTTACGTAACATCTCGATAGGCGTCCAGTCGGGAGGAAAAAAAAGATTTTTCAACGCGCCTTAGAAAATAGCGATAAAAATTTTGAGGTATCAAGTAGAGGGGTTTGTGTAGACTTGTGAACTAATCAAATCAACTGACGATTTTTTATATACATCATTTTTTACGTCAGATAATTAATAGATTTAAATATAACATCACACAAATTTACACAAATTACGTTTTAAAAACATATCAAAATCATCATATGAATTTGGATACAGCAAAGGAAACACTTAATACGTTCGTACAATACAATCCTCTACAAGGCGATGCTTCAAAATTGTAAGCACAAAAATTTGTGGAATGGTTAATTTCTGAAAAAAATTTAAAAGAGCCCATTTGACTTACTTGCAAGTTGCAAAGCGAGCAAGTCCATCTTCAAATAAATATATCCGTAAAGGATCAAATGACGTTACAAAAACATAAATACGAAGATCGAATTTCCTTCCATTGATGAGATATGGTTTTGTAAGATATCTAAAATGTAAAGAGAAGTTTTTGTGAAACAAAATGCTGAATGGAAATTAGATTTAAGCAGATAAAAATAATGCATTCCTCGATGGATATTTGATTTCACGTATTCACCAAGCAAACACGATCAGAAACCAGGATTAAGGGAATGAACATGGTGTGCAAGATTGTCAAATTAAATAAACAGCCTTTGTGTTAGAAGACGTTGGTTTTACTAAGATGTCAGTTTTGTTATAAGATGATCACTTACTTCTGAACAACAACAGGTTTTTTCTTAGGAATTTGACTCCATTTATTTACGACTCTTACACCAATACCTCTTGCAGAAGCTGGCTAAAAAATTAGAAATATTGCATAAAATGCTTCAGATGCTTCATATCATCAACAGCAAACACTTTTTTACCGGCTTCAAAATCCACTTCTGCCTATTTCCACCATCTTCCCAGACTCTCTTGAAAATTCTAAAATCTTGCGGTAAGATGAACGTCTGTGGGATGAATCCAAATTCCTAAAAAAGAATAATGGTTTTAAATTAAACACATCAGGGATAAGAAGGAAGATGGTTGTTCCGAAAGGTCACCTAATGACAATTTTTCTAGAGAGAAATCCCTGCGCCTCGTTTTAAAAACATGGCAATATCAAGTACAAAGTATACATAAACATATACAAACTATAACGTCAAACCTAATGTTAAAGCAATCACTATGATAAAGAAAACATTAAACCAACATTATCCACCATAAAATGAATTTCCAACTAAAGCGATTTCTGTACCAGAGACAATAACTTCATGATTGATTAGCATTGATTAGCGTAAAGCAAAAATTATCTAACATTGTTCATTTTTGACCTTTCTTCCATGTCGTGTTAAAAGTTTTGAAAGATTTTTCCACAGTTTGTCTTTTCTTCCAATTTGAAATGAACCGGGAAAATGATTAACCTGAGAAAAAAGATTCGTCGGAAAGTATCAGAATGTATGTTTAAGAGATAAAGACTGTGAACAAGTCATTTAGACGGAGAATCATTTTGCAAAATTTAATACTGCGTTTAAATCCGTCATACTAAAAAAAATTTAAAACGAAATGGATTTTAACACCTTTTGGTATTCTCGAACAGCTTTGAATCCCGTTGCTTTCATATGTCTTCCCCAGTAACCAAGCCAGTCATTTTCTAGAGAGATCGAGATTAATGGTAAAAATGAATATGTGTCGTACAGTAGATGTGTCGTGTGTACGTGTACTAAACATGAATAAAAAGTATTTACGTCTTTTACGACACGTTTAATACGACACATTTATCAGCTTTTTTTAAACCAGGTTTGAATATCATTTGCCAATCAAAAGATAAATTAAATATAAAATCAACGATTGTACACGAAACTACAAAATGCCCACCGATGTTCTCTTGTATTATTATAACTAAATAAACATAAATCTCTCAATAAAATCCAACCAAAACACCCTTACTTTTGGTAGGAAGAAAACCAGATCGTGCTATGCATAGTTTCACCACATTAGGAGTTATGGGGCTCATTTTCCATTTTAAATGTTTCTTGATTTTTGAAGGAAATGGATGAACTGCAATCAAAGTTAAAAAATTAAACAGAATGATGTAACTGATTCACTGATTCATAAAATAAAAATATTTTTACTATCCCATTGATGTGATCATTATTACTAGAAATTTTACAACTGATTTGCAAATTTCTGAACTCATAAGTCTTTTGTTTTGTAATTAGTGAATGAAGACAAACTATGTAGAAAGAAGGATAGAAGTAACAAGCTAGTTATGTCATTATGTTTTATACATAGTAACAATTACCTCGTTCCCCATCAACAGTAAAATGTATTGTTCCAGGCATATTTGGAAAGAGACTAGATGTTAGAGCAGGTTGAACTTCTTCTGTTCCATATGCAATCCAGTGACCTCTTGAATCAACATTTGCCGATCGAATTTTTGTTGATCTTTGCTTTAATGTATGAACAAGTTTCTCACGATGGAGTGGTTCTTGAAGGGCAGCTGTTGAGGGACGAGATTCACTTGAGCCAGTAATGTTCGATAACTCTACAAAACAAGACAATAAATAAATTTCATCCGGTTAGATGTGAATTTAAGGTGGATGGTGACAAATTGATAATTTGGAGAGGCAATAATTCTTAATCACAATTGATTTTAATAGATCCTAACAAAGCAGACCATGCATTTATGAATATCAGCCCCTTCCCCCTACCAATCTATTGTAGTGCATGAGTAAAATCTAGTGTTTCATAAAGGATTTTTTGGCTGTGGTATTGTAATGAGCAATGGGATGGAGAAAGAAGATGAATTTTACCATTGATTTCAATCATTGTGAGAAGATTTTATCAAACCCACTGATTAGTAAAAAAAAACATGCTTGGATTCTGTTACAAAGAGTATAATTATAAAATGGACACATTGTAAAGGTTTGAAGATTTGCAAGAAAAGGTTAAATTTTACAATGACCATCAGACTCATCTTCTATGAGATTAATTCCTTCTTCCAGCAGCTCGTCATCATAATAACAATCAGATAATTGTTCAAAATCTTCCTCAGTACATTCAGAAAAACAACCATCACCCGGGGATCTTTCAATGCAACTGTAATCAATGTCATCATCTTCAACACAATCGCGTTCATCATCATACTCTTGTCTAAAAACTGAGCTTTTTCGACGAAATGCAGTAGACCTTGGTAAATCTGGAGGCTTTGGTGTCTTAGATCGAGCTTTAAACAATAATTGATTGCCAGCATTTGAAATCAATTTCACGTCCACGTTTAAATCACCAGAGTCATTGGTATTGATCATTTCATAGTCAAGAAATCGCTTTTCTTGCTTATAAGAGACAGAAGTTATATCATTTTCATGTCTATTTCCAACGATTTCGTTGGATTTGCTTTTTTCTTTACATGTAAGCGTTTCCATAACAACTCGTTATTAAAAACTGTTTTTGTAGGAACAATTTAGTTGACTTCATTTAGCACTAAGAAATCAAAATTTAACACATTTACGTCTTGCAGATAAAAAGCAAAAATTGCATTTAAATCTGCGTTTTAAATTATCCTTGGTCTTGATCCTGAAATTTACAAACGATCATCGATAAGACGCGCGGAATTAATGACGTAATGACGTAATGACGTAATGACAACAACAAGGTTGGCTTGGCTCCATTGTACTCTTTTGCTCATGCACAAAGCCAAATAAAGGATAAATTATTACCTTCAAAGAATAAATTATGAAGTTCAAAAGATACTAAAATAGTCTGAGAGAACAGAACAGAGTATTGTTTACCTTGGAAAAAATCGAATGTTTTCAATGCTCATAAAATCTTAGCATAGATATCAACCAAAGTTACCCAACGTCCAAACTAGTTAAATTAAATGAAGTTAAATAACATTCTTTCATATAACATTCGTCCAAACTAGTGGTATGGACAGTCTGCTTTAATGTCCTAAACATGCCTTTGTCACAATTTAATGCATTGTGTTGTTGTGAAATTTATGATTGGCATAACAAACAAAAAACCCTTAAAAGAATGTTAAATTCACACATTCCTATCATTATCGCTTACATTGTCTTAGCACTGATTGGCTGATCACTATTGCAAAATACAAAATATCAAACTGTGACGCATAAAAACCTGCCCGGTAAACTTCACTGGGACATGGGTACAAGATTTTATGAAGGTTGACACTTCAAAGGTTACAATTATACAATTATATATATTATAATTTTCTATGACCACAATTTAGAACCATGGATGATAAATGTGACTTAACTTGTTCGAATGAGGAAAGCGAAGGATTAGATCCAAGAATTCAGGTAACATATTTCCATTTGAGGATTTTATAAGAAGCGAAAATCTTAAACATAGACACGTAGGTTTAATTTGCTTCATGCTACCGGTACTGGTAATGTTGTTCGTACGGATATGCGCAAATTAGATAATTATTATTTTTCAGCATAAGCTCAACATATAAAGCATAATATTATAAGAGCTGTATTTCTATAACTTATCATGAAAATTACGCATCGAGAAATCTAAAAATTTCATATGTTGTTCTTCAGGAGCAATTGGATCGGCTGAATGGCTTCTGTACTTCAGTTAATCATTTAGAAATGGAATCAAACGTAAGTTACGCTAAGGTTACATCATATACGTAGAATTGAGTTGAGCTTTGGTTTAAGTTTACGAACGTATTTTAATGGAAACAATAAACAGTGGTTAAAGTTACATATTACAAAACAATTCTTAATTATTACACTTGCCAATCATAACAAACTTCTAATTTCAATAAATCGCAACATCCTTAATTTCGAAACCTACGTAACATATTGTTTCAGTGTAACAATTTTGTACTATATTGTTTCATTAAGTTGCTAGGTACTGTTCAAAAGGTTCAAACTTGTAATGTGGTAATTGTTTTTAATACCACTTTGTTTTAATAAATATGCACAATCTATTCAATAAATGAGCTATTTCAAAGGAGAGTAAAGAGTCATCATCCGTTTTAGTATATCTCATTAAATGAAGCAGTAGCCAAATCTCTTGTGAACTATGACATAAACGGATGCACGGTACTTAATGCAACTTTGCTTTAAGTTTGTTTTGTTCTTAAGTGAATGTCTAAGTTGTTTTTATTTTCAAGAATGATAAAATGTGGTGAAAATTTTGCCACATGTATAATCAATGTTTAAAACATTTCAGGTGGCTTAGATGCCCTATCACTTTTGAGAATATGTATCTTATTTCGTTTTCTGAGTCTGTGAATATTTCATCCTTGTGAAAATCTTAATTTGTTCTGTGAAGTAGCATTTTCCAACTCAAAACACTTTTGCAGTTTGCTCCAAAACTGTTTTCAGTACTGGGAGATTTTTATGTATTTCTGTTAAACTTTTGGCTGATCTTCATTTTCATCATGAATTCCACTTGCTTTCTCTTCTGGATCAGATTTTGGAAACTTCAATTTTTTTATGTTTTTTTAAATCATGAATCATTACTTTAATAGAGTTTTCTACATATATAGTTTGCTATGTACTTATGTCATGTACAGTACCACAGTACATGTGCAATGCATGTACAATAGGCATACAATGCACATTCTTATGCAACACATAATATGCTTGTACAAGATGGAAAATGGACATAAAGTACCCAAACAAGGCACATATAATGGAGATATAATGCATGTTCATACACAAGAAATAGTTGCTGTAGATATGCACAAAACATACAATACACAAACAATTTGTACAGTACACATACAATGAAACAATGCACTTAATGTCCACATTTGATATCTGTGATTCTTATCCATACCACCTGGATAGAAGCAAAACTTGACCTAAATTTTGAGTCACTTACACCAACCACTACAATTTGCAACCATATGCTAAAAATTGACATGTTTATGCGACCATCTGCCAAATGTCACAAACCACAAATTTTTTAATCCCAAAGTAATTGTGCTAATTGCGAGAAATTCCACTTGTTTTCGAACTTTTAATCAGTATTTGAATTTCATACTCAATAAGTTCGAATTACTTTTCTGTGTTACCTATTTAAGTCACTATAGCTACATTGTAGCAAAGATGGTGCAAAACTTGTAATGTTTTTTGTAAAGTTCCTATTACCATACCTGTCAACTGTGTCGTGAAAAAAGCAATTTTTTGCATTAAATTATTCAACAATAACGCAAGAAACGAAGATTTGAAAAAACACAATCTGAGATTAGCAACCACACGTCATGACCATATTGTCATGAGACAATTTTGTATTAATTTTTTTGTGAACAACATATACAACTATATACTGGATGTTTTCTAGATTGACCTGAGATTGATCTTTTGTGACATTTTAATTTTATTTAGGAGGCACAACGACTTCATCAACAAGTTCTTTCATCAGCAAATGAGCAATTACAACAGAAACGCAAGGAACTTGGGAAATGTGTTGATAGAGCTCTACCATTTTATGTTGCCAAAAGCGATGCTAGACAGGTAAAATACTAAGTATGTATGTATATAAAAGAACTAAAATACTCTAGTATTGTAGTTTATGTACTAAAATAATCTTTGGTGTCCATATTTTTAAATTATAACTGGATATCTTATGTGTATGACTGTTGTATATATGTCTTTGTTATTATTATTTTATTCTGTTGTGTCTAAAATTGGTTGTATGCTATGTGACAATATGTGCAAAACTCCTCATTAAATTGCTTATGAAAGTGCAAATGAAAATAAAATTTTTCGTTGTTAAATTTTTTTTATTTAACGAAGCTTTTGAAATAACAGTAGACTTTCTTAAACTGTTCAGACTCATTTTTTTATTCTGGTGTTTTTGTGGCCACTTGTTGTGTAAACGTGATCTCTGGTCGTGTAAACGTGATCTCTGGTCGTGTAAATGTTACATTGAAAAATAGCTATGTCAATTTTAGCTTTAAAAGAGATGTACAAGTACACTAAGTACATTTCAAGGAGGTCTACTGTCATTTACTTAATATAAAGTGAAGGAAAATCCAGATATTTTAGAACATTTAAGTTATCTAACATTAAATTGATTGTACAAAATAGTGTTTTGTTTTTTCATGGATTTATTGATTTCGCTGTTTTGTTTCTCATTTAAGGCGTTTAAGCAGCTCCAAAAAACAGCAAGTGACTACGAAAGAGCCAATGAAAGATATAACTCGGCCAAAATAAGGGTAGCAGATCTTGAAAAAATAATGACAAGTGAAGGTCGAGTGTTTGATGCAGCTCTACAAGAATTACTTAATCATGCCACACAGGAGGTAAGAAACATTTACTGAAAAAAACAGAAATTTTTTAAAAGATTAATGAATGTGTAGGTACCTAACGCACATCGGGTGTATTTCTTTAAATCTTACTTGGTGCGTATTTTTTGGCGGTGAAGGAGATCGTTTGCATCTCTCAAGAAAAATTCTAAAATGGCATTACGGACTGTGGAAGGCAATTATGTGTTTTATACTACCACATTTGCAAACTGTTGTATATTAGTGATTCGCTCGTCTTTGGTAATATTTGGATGATGATTTATGAAGTTTTGTTGGTTATTTAAAGAACTGTACAACTATACAATTATAGGAATTATAATTTACTTTACTTTATAAAAAATTCTTAAAAATCTAATAACTCTTTCATTACGCAAGGTTCACTCATCTGCAAGTCTATAAGTCTACAATAGCCCAAGGCCCTGGGACCTTTAGCTAGGACAATAATGCACCCCCCGGGAAAACCTGCACCCCTCCTGTCAAATGAGCATTGATCCCCTGAATCTTATCGTAATTACTCAATAACAATAATTGGCATCATAAATAAAAAATGAATATTTCTGAGTTTTAAATACTTAGTGAAGAATAACAAACTTAAAAATTGCTGAAAAAGAATAACACGCTGTGTTCATTTTTTGTATATTTGACAAAAGATTTTACTCCGGATGGTTTTGTCATAAAAAAACTGCAAAGGAAAACATCAACCAGTCATTTATGTTAATAAATATTACCCATGAAACATTGGCATACATTTTATTTTAGTCGTAGTTATTGAAAGAAAAGAGTGATAGGTTTAGGTTTGAAAAATATATCAACTTATTGGCGCTGATTATTGTGCATTTGTTTACCTAAGGTAATGGAAGCTGCCGAACTGAAAAGAGAAAGTAGTTGCTCGCATCACCAAGCGACAACCAATTTTCAAACATTACAAAAGAAAGTTAAAGAAATGAACAAAAATTTAAGAGGGGCGATTTTGAAATCAAGGTATTTTTGCCATAGGCGATGAATTTTTTTATTGTAGTTTACAATTATTTCACTACCATCAATTTTTTCCCCTTTTAATTGATGAATATTACTGAAGCATGTTCAAGCAAATTTATGAGAGTCAATTAGTTGAAAAAAATCATGATTTTCATGTGCCTTAAATGTTTCATTTGCATTTTTTGATTTGTTTAGAGGATATTTCGAACTGAAAGCTGCGTCAAATAGACAACTAGAGGTTCGTAAACCTTCGGATTTGTTTTTGCGATAATTCTATTTTATATAATGAGGTAATGACAACCGATGTTTTGGTGAGGGATTTAGCATTTTATAATTGTGCTTTAACCCAATATATTTTTGAATGCATTTTGTTCTACATTCAATACGTGAATTTTTTAGCTACATAAACAAAGAGTATTTTCACTTAACAAGGATTTGCGCATGGCAAAAGAAGAATATGCTGTTGCGTTGCAGTCACTTGAAAAGATCAGTGATGAAATACATCGTCTTCGTAAGAAAAATAATTTCAATAAAGATTTGACTTTGTTGCTTCGTGAAAACGGAGTTGGCGCCGAGTCAATGAACCCTATACTAGAAGAAGAGTCGCGTTATCATAACGATTTGATTCTTGGGGAAACAGTTGAACTAGAACCAAAATCTAATTTTGATTTTTCTTATATTTTTACTGATGACGAAGAAGAATTTGATTCTGAAAGTGAGGACACTTTAAGTAAAGATTTCTTTTCCAGAGGTGAGAGGCCGTCTGTTTCGGGAAGTGAAGGGAACAGTAAAGATGAGACTAGTTTTTCTGATATTGATCTAACTTAATGGAAGGAGATTAACAAATAATCATGGAGTATGTTTTTTGTGGAAAACTGAAAATACACAATTGATCTTGCAACGTAACTGCCTTCCTAAAAGTGTCACTTGAACACTTGGCAATTTTCTTTTTATCGTTCTTATTTTCTTTATATTCTATATGAAGGCTACTAAGTAAGTTTATGAATATTTTATGTTTTTTTGCATATTTTTACATCACTATAATCAATTAAAATATAGAGATAAATTATATAATGATGTTAGTGTAACACTAAGTAATAATTCTTTGTACATAAATAAAAAAATGACATTCAAATTCACATATAATGATTATAGTTTTATGATATATTAAATTTATCCATTATATTAGCACTGTAAATTATTTTGATATGCGTTTGGTGTATGTGCTATAGTCCACTATTTAAGTACACTGTTCTCATTAATTACCCACATGCGACAATAAAAGTTTCAGACGATACATCGTTATCCATCAAATACATCATTATCCTATACTTTATATTCTTCAGTTCAGCTAACCATTTACTAAGCTTTAATTTAAAAAACTATCATTAAAGTACAAATTCTTTGAAAACCATTATTTTTCCCTATGTTTGCTCTTAAATCAGGGCCGTGGGAAGACGATGAAAGTATAGGTGGCGAAAGGGTCAACAGTCCACAAGGATCGCTAAACATGACAGCATTTCCTATAGGAGCGCTTAGATAATCAGTACTTCGTAGGCCGTCATCTTGAACTCAAATAATTTAAAATTGATCACGTTTTTGTGATCAATACAATGGAAAAGGAAGTAGTTTCTTTGGAAAACATACATTTTTGATTGTATGAAGATAAATGCACGTAAGAACAAGGAAAAAGTAAATTAATTCTAACTGCACATTCGTTGACGTTCATGTAAGCATCGTGGTAGTTAAATTCAATATTCTATTTCAATAATTCTATTGCAATTATTTAATTTCAATCTATCAATCTCTGTTTCTAAACGCCATCCAAGTTAGTGCAAACATCAGTTCGATTATTTGGCTTCAACGTCACCATACATACGTACGTACACGTCAACTTTTATGACGAAATGAACATCTGGCTTCAACGTCACCATACGTACGTACGTACGTACACGTCAACGTTCATGACGAAATGAACATCATAAATTAAGATTGAAATCATTGTTAGAGAATGTTTATTTTCACTGATCATGGGATTTTTCCAAATTTTTCATCATGAAAGTAATCATCCAAGAAAAAACTTAAATTGAAAAATGGTTGTTTCACATAAGTATATTATACACAGATAATCAACAACAGAAAAATCAATAACGGCAACTCATTACCTGTACCAATAATAGCAATAAGGAATTGTTGTCAGGTGCCAGACAGCATGTGCATCTAAAATTCCCCAGATAGGTGGAAAGTCACAAATCTAAAATAATAAAGGTTCGATAGTTTGTTCATTAATTCTAAATGTACGTAATAGCTACAACACGATCTTAAAGTGACTTACTAACCTCAAGGACAATCAATAACACCAAAGAGATATTGATGAAAGCACATTTCCATACGTAAGGACGAGAAATTCTGTTCTAGTAAAAACGAGACAAGAAAAATTTCAGGATTCACAAGCGATGACGATTCATTGGAAAAGAGCAGACATTTCCCACAGTTATGAGGCATATTCCACAATTCTGCAGCATTTGCAGCACATTGTAGCAATGGCAACCTGTATCACAAATACATCATTATCCACAGTTGTGCAGCATTTGCAGCACATTGTAGCAATGGTAACCTGTATCACAAATACATCATTATCCACAGTTGTACAGCATTTGCAGCACATTGTAGCAATGGCAACCTGTATCACAAATACATCATTATCCACAGTTGTGCAGCATTTGCAGCACATTGTAGCAATGGTAACCTGTATCACAAATACATCATTATCCACAGTTGTGCAGCATTTGCAGCACATTGTAGCAATGGCAACCTGTATCACAAATATATCATTATCTACAGTTGTACACCATTTGTAGTACATTGTAGCGATGGCAACCTGTATCACAAATACATCATTATCCACAGTTGTACAGCATTTGCAGCACATTGTAGCAATGGCAACCTGTATCACAAATACATCATTATCCACAGTTGTACAGCATTTGCAGCACATTGTAGCAATGGCAACCTGTATCACAAATATATCATTATCTACAGTTGTACACCATTTGCAGTACATTGTAGCGATGGCAACCTGTATCACAAATACATCATTATCCACAGTTGTGCAGCATGGAAACACTTACGTAAAAAGACCAGGAGAGCCACCCTAATACATTGACAAGACCTAAAACAAGGATTAATAAAAATGTAAAAACACCATTCTTTATTTTTTCTAACTGAGACACCAACATTAAGAGATGATTTTAGGCCAGACGATTTACTAAACATCAATGACAATTAACGTTACGTACCAGCAGCCAAAGTTACTTTCATGTTATAACCATAATCAAAACGCACGAAAGAAAGATAACCACAGTGACAAATGAATAAAATGAAGAGAACAAGACCAAAAAAACGACATCTGAATAAACACAAAAAAGCAAGACATAATTGTGAGTCATCGATAGACTAATAAATACTGTACATGTATATCTAAATGCGACAAAAATTTTCAATTAACGCCAAAGCAGCAGAGGAGTACTTAAAAAAAGATGCTAAAATATAAGCTCTTCTAGTAAGGTTGTAAAGTTTTAAAGTACTTTTGTAAAGTGTAAAACAACTTATTGTTTTAATTATTTAACTTTAAAGCATGAAATAAAAATGAATAAACACACCTCTGATGATGCTGTCTGCCAAAAGTCCTATAAAATTGCAATAAACAAGTGTTATTTATCATGTCCAATATTATTTATGAAACCTTGCACTTGCATGATTAATTTTATTCTTCCTAACTCCATATCTGTTATTAATTTTTGATAAGCAAACGTAACATACTGAACAATAAGTTATCGAAGTAAAAGTGAGCACTAATGATTGATTTTAATTCCAGTGGAAATTTTTTCTCTCCAATTTTGATAAATTGTTTTTAGATATACTTTTTGAGAACGTACGTAGGTAAACTTAACATTTGGGTACAAAAAAATACTTAATTAAAAAATTGACTCTTTTCTATTCAGACTTGTTTCTTATTTTTATTCCACAAATACAAACGTTGCTACAGTTTCATCCATAATGTAAGATAAAATTACATCATAAAAAGCTAAATTTTTTTCTGAGAAAGTTATTTTAAAAAAAATTTGCTATTGTCTCTACACAAATATTCAACCTAAGTTATGTATTGTTGCCAAATTTACACAAAATGCTAATGTAATCTAAACTTAATTTTACTTGATGGATGTTTAAATATTAGCATATTAAAATTTTATAAACCATTTTACATTTCATCCAAAATCACATCATCCTATGTATTGCATTTAGTCATAAACATGTTAATACCTTACAAAATATGAGTAGATAGATACTAAAACCAACGATGTTCCACAAAAATAATCCATTCTCTATAAATATATAAATAAAACAGCTTGAAACTACCTACATGTATGAAGCTCTTTGAAGAATTATGATGTTACAATATATAATATGTAAATAATCATTGAAAAATGAATATTTTAACAGATCATTTTAGTGTTGATTCTAGTGTTGGTTTTGTAGTGTTTTTTAGTGTTTTATTGATATTTGACTATTTATCGACATTGTACATATACATAAGTGACATTGTACACATACATAAGTGACAATATTTCTCATATTAAGGTCTCCATAAATGACTATAGGTAGTTGCAATCTATTGGCTACCACTATGATGATCACATGCAAAATAAGATATGTATGCGCTGCACAAAAAAATAAAATAGAGTGAGTTTAAGTCGCTTACTTCAGTGAATACAAGATCTCTTGTGTGAAAAATTACTGACCAAAACCAAGCATGTATACTGACCTATAAATGGTAAATATGTCTTTAGTCTAAAGTACTTTATGCAAAATATAAAAATGACATTAAATAAAATAAATACCTTGTTATACAACCACCAAGTAGAATACATAGAATAATTAGGATTGACATGTTTTCTATACATTCTCCAGCCAAAGTAATGTCCAAGAGCATTACCAATTGAGAATATTGTGGATGCTGGTTCTTGAATTCCACCAAGCCGAATAAAAGGCCACTACAAAATCAATAAATTTTAAGGGTTTCTGGGGTAAAATTTAAAATATAAAAAAGGAAATGGCAGAAATAAGTCATGATTGTAGTTGCTACATATAAAAAAACTAACCTTGCCATAAAATTGTTCAACATTCAATCCTCTTGAAATAGAATTATGAGTAATTTCATGCATACAACTATACTTGCACTCGTCAGAACATTTCCAACCAAATAAACTCAAATAATATGGTAGCTTTCCTGGATAGGTCTCAGTATAACGACAAGATGTCATACAATAGCTCAAGCATACTCTAAAATCTTCTCTGCGGTCACCACTAGACCCAGAAGTCATAGAGTTTAGCCATGATAGGCTATAAAAAGTAAATAGTATACACTTATGATAACTTGACATTATCGTAACATCTCTGATCCCTTCAAATGTACTTTATTTATAAGTTGTCATCGTCGACCACAAATAATTCTTCTTGTGAAAATGGCATCATTGTTTCAGCATTTAAACTCAAACACCAAGACAAACATTATTGCTTATTTCACCAGAGATACGTGTTTCACCTCGAAGTGCAACTGCTCACTTCACTTGTGCAATGTCAAAAATAAAACACAAGAAATGGAAACACAATTTGAGTTATAATGTTTCAATTTCTATCAAATTTTTCAAAGTAGAACAAAAAGAAGACTGAGACTAAGCAATTTTCAGGCAACCGTGCTTACTTCATAAGTTATTTGTTGCTATAATTGAAAACTATTGATAGTAATACTGACATATGTTACTAATAGAGGGCTCTGATTGTATGTGGTTATTTATGTTGCATTCATAGAAGAACGCATGCGCAAAAAAATTGATTTCTCTGTCTATGAAGCGTTTTCCATTGCCAGGTAGACTACTTTTTTTGTTTCACTATTCTCGAATTTTCACCTTTTATGGAATAAATATAACCAATTACTAACTGTTGCATTCCTTGGTGGGGTAATGCCGTCCAAGAGATTTATGGAAACTTTGTAATTGTACCACCACACCTCCGCATGTAGCGATCCAGAGCAAAGTATACAACCCCTAAAGAACATCTTAGGAATTTCCAAAGAATATAAAATAACTTTTATGCTAATCAATTCGCTTCTGTGATTTTAAGTAATTCCAAGAAAAAATTGTTACATTTATAACGTCATTTGACTTGCTCCTGGATTTGCATACTAGCTACTGTATCAATACATGTGCCGTATACGTATGAAAAACATGTTTAAAACATATAAATAAAAAATGAAAACCAATAAAGATTTTATGCTTGGTTGATAAATGCAAATTTTCTGCACGTTATTTCTCAAAAATACGAGCGTATAAATTTAACCCACTAGACAATATTAAACGTCCATGAACTATCTCGCGAAGAATGGATGAAAACTCTTAAATAGTTCATTGTAGAACTGATAGGTGCTTGAGACTTCAAGTAAAAGACCACAATTATGCGCAACCAGCCGACGGTCTAAACCATTTAATTCGGTTAATGTGGTTTCCAACTTCATTTTCGGCAGAACCACATTGACTCCAGTAGTGAACTAAAGAAATGCAATGACATTACTTACAAGAGATTTAACGAATATTGTCAAGTAGTCTAACGTTACGTGCTCTTTGTCAATTTAGTAACTTTATTCTGTGTAGGCTTCTTTCACCACAGAACAAGAGAATGTTTAACATGTTCTAGAATTTTGTACTTTGACCTTCAACAATTGTAGTATCGGATTCCAGGGTTAGGAAACTACAAGGTGATATAGCACTAAACAGCATTTTCAAATCTTGAAAAGTTTTGACGTAATTAATGTGAAATATACATTTCTATGTTGATTAAATCTATATCTTGCAGTAGCTATTTGCTCTCAGGTTACCAACATGTACGCAGTGCGTACCTACTTTTCTAAAATGTACGTCATTGTATTTAATAAACGCAGTGTTTTGGGAGATATACCCAAAGGCCGAGAAATAAAAAAGAAACGTGAATATTCATGATAACTAAAATAAATGTTATGACAAATGACTTCGCTTGGCCCCAAATGTGGACACTGTTTTTTTGGCAAAAACAAAACGAAATGGTAGGGAAAACCGGTATATCCGGTAAAAAACCCTCCAATAAAAGAAAAGAGGAAAAATTTAGAAAAATTTTCTTCAATTTTTGTAATTTTAAGATGTTTTATATTTTTGTTGTTTTCAATGATCCCGATGATCTACTTTAACATGCAGCGTAGCCAGATCGTGCGTTACTGTCGTATAGAAATTTAAATTTACAGAGCGACAAAAACGCGCGCCGACTAACCTATTGACACAGCAAATATTTTGTGTTGGAACAAAAGAAACGCAAACTTTGGTGGAGAACTAAAAATGAAAGAGCGCGGAGTGTTAAAAGAAATTTTAAAAATAGACGAAAAATGAAAACTAATAGCAGCCATACATAAATCTTATATCAATGAAAAATGAAATGACCAAAGTCACGTCATGACTTGCATAAAATAATTTTGGTGTCTACTAGACTTCATTCGATTCAAAATTTCAATGTTTCTACCATTAAGACCTTCATTAAATAATAGCTGGCTTTCACTTGTGTGTTTTGTCAGAAAATTTAACAATCGTGAAAATTTAGTTTTACGGAAATTTTAACGGTTGAATTTGTAAATGCATATCAAAAGTCACACGTGTGAATCTTTCAGTAAAGACGCTTGTTTCTTGGTGCTTCTGTTCGTCGTTCATTCATTCTCCAGTAGAACACACAGACATAGCTACTCTATAAAAAACACGTTATAAATGTCAGCATAATCAATGTACAAAAACAAAATTTAAATATATTGAAAAGCACAAAACTGTAATACCTGATCTCCAATACCAATCTGATAAACTTGTTTTAGTAGGTCTCTTCCCTTTTTTTAATCGCGCGTTTTAACGTGGGTATGATAGAAATTTATTGTTACATTTTTATCTTAGAAATTCAACCAACCCTACTTGCAGCATTGCAATTTTCTTTATAAACGTCAAAGAAAATAAGTAAAAAGTAGAAAGCGAAAGCCAGCTATTTTCCAACAGCAAGTGACATATTTTTTGACGATTTCTTAATTTGGGTTTTTTCAAGATTAAGGCTCAAATTATAAAAAATAGACCATCAGGATCCACTTTAACCATCTCATGCAGTTACTAATACAACACTTATCTACTCAACTTACAAACCACAAGACATGGATCGTGTTTTTCCACTCGCTTGTTTTCCATCTTCGTAGAATATAGTCCATCTTTATAGTCCAATCATTTCAATGTTCATACGTGCATATGTCGTTATGCGACGTCCATTCACAATGTTTATAGCATTCCATACACGAAGTTACCGGCATCATCAACCAATAAAGTAGCTACTGATATCATGAATCGCCATTTCGATGTCTACAATTTCTGATGGTAACTTCAAGCGAAGGAAAAGGGATCACTTCAATACCCCAGTTATATCATCACTCAAAGAATGCTTAGTGCAGAGTTGATCTTTTGTGAGTATCAGCTGACCACCTTTAGGTGGGCTCATATAACAATGGGGCCCATCATCATCATATGAACAAACAACTGACATCACCAAAGAATCAAAACTACAAACGAACATTCTTGGCCATGAATCACCATGACACATGAGTAATGATAAACTAATTATAGTAATTGAAGTGGAGGACGCAGGTGGTAAAGGGAATTTTACAACTCCATCCATGTGGGATCTACAATACAAGAAAATATGAAACACATGTTTTGAGATTTCATGATGATTAACTCTGCATATGACGTCATAGTTTGCGTTTTTAAATTCTTAATCAGATATACTGAGAATGAGCAAATTACAATGTGTGATTGGCTCCTTAGGATTATGTCCTCTTTCACAAAGACAAAAGTAATCCTTCAATGCGTTTAAATAAAAAAATTCATTAGAATCTTCAGATTTTTTGTGTTTGGAATGTCGTTATGCAAAGTAAGGATGCATGATGTTGTAGCTTAAGATTTATGAATTGACAAAAAAATTTAGAAACTAGAGTTCAATTTTTTCCAAATATTCATTGAATCTTGCAGTCATACTTCTTAGGTTAAGGTTAGGAGAGTGTTCTGCTTGTCCTGATGTGTCTCGACTACTTACATTATTGTAGGGAGTCGTAGAAATTCGAGCAAAAGACAATTACGGCTCTCGTTCATTGCATGTCTACACCACATACAATCTGTGATAACTGCACCTCTATGCACTCAAACACATAGTGCGTTGGAGACAGAGGGCAAATTTAGTGAATTTATATTCCTGGCATATATTCAGTAATGACTGATGTGACATTGAACAAACACACCAAAATCAGTAGCATTAATAAAACCCTTGAGATTTTTACGAGAATCTCAATTATGATGAGTCAAAAGCAAATAATCATTTATCGTCAGTTTAGTCACTTACATTTGTAGTTTCCAGCCGTAGGATCTATTTTCATACATGATATCGAGGGAACCATTTCAAAAGGGTTTTCCTCGCTAAAATTTCTTTTCGCACCTGCTATCGACATGGATGAGATACTGATAGTATATATCAACACATCGTGGTTTTCAAATGTTCAAATATGGGCAATATGTCCATTGACAAAAGCTTTTTATGATTGACTACGTTGCAGCTCTGTGTTGATAGGTATCAAAGTTCGCATGCAGGTTTCGTTGACAGCTTGGTTTCTTCGTGTTGCGCGGTATATTATCAACTGAACTTTCTCAAAAATGTTGGAAAAGGCCTCTTGCTGTTGATGGAATTATTCCCAAAATATCGGGTAACACCAAGTAATGCTAAAATCACTAACCAATCTTTTCCTTTCTTCTTTTATAGCAACCTCGGTCCTATGAACGTATTTACAACTCTATTTTTCCATGTTTTCAAAAAGTTTCTTCAAAGTCCTAGATTCAATTCTTCTTCATTTGCATTCAGATGTCTTGATTTTTTATTAACAAACACTTTCAAATACATTTGCTTTCAAACAAACGTCTTACAGTAACTTGTCATCGATAACAGTTGAAGGCAACAATTTTTTTGCTTTGCAAAATCACTAATCTTTATGTTTTGCCTATACGTATAGTCTTGTTCCATCTCATTTGAACAACATCTGCTCTCAAAAACGCCTCGTAGTTTATACATAGCTACACTTGAAGTATATGGTATTTTTATACATGGTGGCATAACATTTTTGGTATTTGTTCCACATGATTGTTTAATATTCATTCTTCGTACTTTAACAAATTACCGGATATTTATCAAACCTAATTTTCAAAAAACGTATTGTCGGTAAACAAAAGAACTATACTTCTATGCTCTATCCTCTTTAATATACGAAAATGCAAATGACGATTAACCATTTTTCTCTGATTTTACGCGAATAATTAATGAATTAAATTTATTCAGTCTATTAAATAACGCAAATATTACGATTTTGGGCATTAAGATGTTGGTGATGTCAACCATAACGCTATTTACTCTCTTAACCTTAACATAGAAAGTATTACTTCGTCTAGTTTCTAAATTTATTATCGTCTCATGAATCTTAAGCTACAACATCATACATCCTTACTTTGCATAACGACATTCCAAACACAAAAAAATCTGAAGATTCTAATGAATGTTTTTTATTTACACGCATTGAAGGATTACTTATTGTCTTTGTGAAAGAGGACATAATCCTAAGGAGCCAATCACACATTGTAATTTGCTCATTCTCAGTATATCTGATTAAGAATTTAAAAACGCAAACTATGACGTCATATGCAGAGTTAATCATCATGAAATCTCAAAACATGTGTTTCATATTTTCTTGTATTGTAGATCCCACATGGATGGAGTTGTAAAATTCTCTTTACCACCTGCGTCCTCCACTTCAATTACTATTATTAGTTTATCATTACACATGTGTCATGGTGATTCGTGGCCAAGAATGTTCATTTGTAGTTTTGATTCTTTGGTGATGTCAGTTGTTTGTTCATATAATGATGATGAGCCCCATTGTTATATGAACCCATCTAAAGGTGGTCAGCTGATACTCACAAAAGATCAACTCTGCTCTAAGCATTCTTTGAGTGGTGATATAACTGGGGTATTAAAGTGATCCCTTTTCCTTCGCTTGAAGTTACCATCGGAAATTGTAATCAACGAAATGGCGATTCATGATATCAGTAGCTACTTTATGGATGATGATGCCGGTAACTTCGTGTATGGAATGCTATAAACATTATGAATGGACGTCGCATAACGACATATGTACGTATGAACATTGAAATGATTGGACTACAAAAAATGGACTATATTCTACGAAGATGGAAAAAAAGCGAGTGGAAAAACACGATCCATGTCTTGTGGTTTGTAAGTTGAGTAGATAAGTGTTGTATGAGTAACTGCATGAGATAATTAAAAAGGATCCTGATGCTCTATTTTTTTATAATTTGAACCTTAAACATGAAAAACACCCAAATTAAAAAAAATAAAAGATGTCACTTGCTGTAAGAAAAACGCTGGCTTTCACTCGCTACTTTTTACTTATTTTATTTAACGTTTATAAAGAAAATTGCAATGCTGCAAGAAGGGTTCATTGAGCGATCCAAACTAAAGAGATCCATTGCATGTCGACTTGGCATATTTTGTCCAAGTTTCCAGATTTTTAACCTGTATTTTAACATTATTGAAATCTACAGTGGCAACACTGAACACACTGGCAGCCAACAGCATCGTCTTGGTAACTAATACGGCCAACGCCTGTGTGAGACAGCCATAAGAGCCATATGGAGCCACCGGATGATGGCTTTTACTCAGAACAGACGATGAGAATATTTTAATTATTTTTGGGAAGTTACCCCGTAATTTCTTCGTCAGTTTACATTTAATTTCCATTGTCGGATCATTACAGGTAAGCGGTTGTTGTCGTTAAAGTAAAGTTCTTTGGTTGTTTTTTGTTTTCATTCGGCAGTTACGAAACATAAAGCTTATGTTTGAAATGACTGAATTAAAATTTTTAAGTTTATTTGAGAGGTATGTTGACATGTTTACCTCTTATATCGAGGAGACGTCCTTATTTTACAATATTTGTTTTCAGTATACCAGGTAACTAATCAGAGTTGTACGTAATACTTTCATTTCTTTAATTGTCTAATAAATGTATTATGATATTTCTTGAAACGATTTACGAAATCAATATTTAGAAATTTTATTAAGTTGAATTATGTGTCAAGGGTTTCAATGCCTTATCTTTAGGGTTATAAATGTATTAATGGCTGAGTTCCAAATACTTACGATTTCTATTAATGAAATTTTACAATAGTTTGGTTGATTTGATGTGTAAAATATTGTAATCATACTGTCCACAATATGCTTTCCTGCCGTAACAATATTTGATATTGTACTGCTTTCTTCTCTAATATCATAAACCATGCAGATTTTGAGTGTGTCAATTGTAAGTTTGACTGTGTGTGAGTATTTTGATGTACATATACGACATACTCACCCAGTTGTTGTTCTACAGAGTAGTCAATATAGTACAATTTACAGAGACTCGTTTTAAATTAAAAAAAAACACAAATACACCGTGGATTTGAAATTTCTTAGTTATATTTTAGACAAAATTTTGCCTTTACGATTGTTTGTTAAGTATTTTGAAGCTTTACTTTACAGACTGGGAAATATCAGGTCTGTATATATATTGTAAATTTAGCTAACTAAGCAAATTTATTTTAATGGACACAGAAATTATCTGAAATATTCTTTATCACAATTTCAACAAACATTATGTATACAATTGATTATTATTATCCTTGCCCTGGTCTTTTACCTTTATTGATTATCGTAACTGCTGTAATATATTTTTATTAAAGTAAATGTTGGTTCATTGGATTAATAAATTGTAGTGATGAAATATTGTTTTTACTTTATGTATTCAATTGCATTGTTTTGACCATTATAATATTTAAGCTGGGATAAAATAATTTTGAATATACAATACTATGCATATTATTTAGGAAATCTGGCATTAGCAATGGCATCTGGAGAAAAGAAAATGGTTTTACATATGAGTATTGCTGCTCATCAACTTTTATCAAAGTTACTTCGACCAAAGTTATCTGGTCATGACTGGAGAAGCCTTGCTGATTGTATGGGATTTACATATGAAGATATTCTTGACCTTGAATGTGATATGGATCCTGTTGTTTCTATTATTCCAATGGGAAAAGCAAGATGGTGCCACAGTGGAAAAATTGTTACTTTTTCTAGAGAAAATTGAGCGACCTGATGTTATTGAAGACTTAGAACCGTTTATAGGTATGTTATTTGCTTTTGGAAATGGATTTGTTTTGTATAAACTTTAATAAGTCATAAATTTTTTTATACATTCATGTCAATACAAACAAACTTAGATATATCATACATTGTTGTATGTATGGACAGTGATTGACTATAATTAATTAAACTTAATTTTGTTGAAAATTATTTTTCGCCGGTGATTAATTTAGACAGGCTGGCTATACATACTTACCAAATAATGAATCAAATCTTAAGACTGCCCAAAATGACAATTTCTATCATAAGATTTAAGTTTTTGTAATAAAGTTTTTTGTGATGTTTTATGGGTATTTAGAGTACAATTTTTTTTAACTTGAACTTTGTGTTTTGATTCTAATTAATTTTCAGAATCTACTTTACCATCAGAGTACAGAAAATCAGGTAATTTTTTACTTGTAAAATACTTGTTCATAGCTTTCTTAAGTATATTTGTATTTCAATAATTTCTTAAAAGCACCATGGATATCAGACATTTTAAATGAAAGACGAGTTTTTTATCGTAAACATGTTTCGGCATGCTTATGCCATCTTCAGTACATAGAATGAAAGTGATTATGCTATTTACATGATATATAAATATGTCACTACACTCTAATATTATTAACACCAATCATATTCACAATACACCAAAACCCATGGCAACGCATTTCACCCCATCCAATCACATTAATCCACCCAGTAATCCCATTAGACGCTCTAAACGTCTCCAAGTTATAACACGATTAAAGCACGTGTAAATAAATGTCCTCATTCTGATGAAGGCTTGAGGCAACGAGTCGAAAGCTCAATAAAAATCACTTAAAATCCGGAGAAACTTTTATCTTTTATGTATATAAATATGTGTATGTGACTATCGTTAAGTCAAAAATTACAAATTACAAATTACAGAATTAAAAATTACAAATTACAGAATTAGACCTCAACAAACAAATATACCACATTGATACAATATTTAACCTGTAATACAATATCTAACACTAATTGTGTAATTTGATACACTAACGATAGTCACATACACATATATATATATATATATATATATCATGTAAATAGCATAATCACTTTCATTCTATGTACTGAAGATGGCATAAGCATGCTGAAACATGTTTACGATAAAGAAACTCGTCTTTCATTTAAAATGTCTGATATTTGTATTTGCAATTAGATCACAAATGGGAACACCAGTGGTGACATGACAACAACAGTGGTGACATCACAACACCAGTGGTGACATCACAACACCAGTGGTGACATCACAACACCAGTGGTGACATCACAACACCTGTGATGACATCACAACACCAGTGGTGACATCACAACGCCAGTGATGACATCACAACACCAGTGGTGACATCACAACACCAGTGGTGACATCACAACACCAGTGGTGACATCACAACACCAGTGGTGACATCACAACACCAGTGGTGACATCACAACACCTGTGATGACATCACAACACCAGTGGTGACATCACAACACTAGTGGTGACATCACAACGCCAGTGATGACATCACAACACCAGTGATGACATCACAACACCAGTGGTGACATCACAACACCAGTGGTGACATCACAACACCTGTGATGACATCACAACCCCAGTGGTGACATCACAACACCAGTGGTGACATCACAACACCAGTGGTGACATCACAACACCAGTGGTGACATCACAACACCTGTGATGACATCACAACACTAGTGGTGACATCACAACGCCAGTGATGACATCACAACACCAGTGGTGACATCACAACACCAGTGGTGACATCACAACACCAGTGGTGACATCACAACACCAGTGGTGACATCACAACACCAGTGGTGATATCACAACTGTAATTGGAAGGGATGTATGTGGGATATGCCATATTAAGTTCCTTTGAAATCAAATGTTTTCAGCAGATTATAACATACTTTTATCAATATTTGCCCACCAATTATTGCGTTGTTGGCACTACTTGGAAACATGTGTAGTTCACAATTTAGGCCTGTTACTCCTGATGTTACACCATTCTATGTATGTGGTAAAACTTGGTAGATTGATGAAGCTAGATTTATGCCGCGTCTAGAAAATAATTAAAATTCGTCGAAGCTGGAAACGTCTGCGCAAATACAGTTCGTGTAGTCTTGTTAAATCAATTTGAGTCCAGTCTGTAGGCGCTTATGAAAATTCATGAACAAACTGAAAATTCTTGTTTAAACTTTGCCTTGAATTAGGAGATTATATTAGAAAAATGGTTGTATGGAAAATTGAAATATGTTTTAAATACGTAGCTAATGAAAAGATCGACTTTAACTTCGAACAACTTAGAAATATCAACAACGTATAATTTTGATGAAATGTTTTCTGTTTGGATAATTTAGATATCAAAGAAAGAAGGTTATCTCTAGAACTAGAGCGATTAACCGGTAAGTTTGTCGTGTTGATCAATTTTACAAGAAAGACAATTCATAAATTTTTGTCACATCGCATAAGTCTGTGTTGTTTGCCTACAGAGAGTTTTTTTTATGTTACGTATATCACCTGAATTATTCTAGTTTGATGCGTGTTTTTGTGATTATATATTCGCTTTCAAGTTCCAATTTTCTTTTCATTCAAAACAATCTTTGCATTCTACAGTAGTTTTGCTTATTTAACAATTTTAATACGAAAAAATCACGTTACGTACAAATCTTTCATCGGAATGTCGTACATGCTTGCCTGAGATTGCGGACATTACGTAATAAAGGGCAAGACTTTCAACTTCACATATATTGGTCAACAAAATGTCTGAATAATTTCCCGAGTCTGTCAAAGCCGAAGAACTGAAAAATATTCTCTGTTTGCTTCCCCTCGTACGTATCTCCCGATTTTATGTTCTCGAATGACAAAATAAAATGGCTGGACAACCTCTAGATGGATTGTACGTAACATTGTAATTGTAAAATAAAGAAATAGAGTTATAATCCTTGATAGAAAATACGTACACGCTACATCGAGCAAAACGATGCCAATTGTCGACGACTAAACGATGATCGACTTTCTTAAACTTATATTGCGACGTAAGAAGCAAACTTAGAAATTTCTTTAACACTCAAGAAATCAAAAACTATCACCAAAATTTGAATCACCCATAGGTTTACCGTATATCAATTGCCTTATATTTGCAAGGACATCTTTTAGTTTTACCAGTTCTTCTACCAGGCTGCTATTCCGCTTATCAATTCTTTTTGCTAACTATATGGCAAAAGACTCGTTTTTGTTTGAACTGCTCGATCTTAATTTTGAGCCATGGCAAGCTTCAACATTGCCTCCTTATTTACTAAAATTCTTCTTAACGAATCCAGTTCAACATTATTTTTACCAATGCTCATCTTTTTCACGATTTATTGCAGCTCCATGGATTTGAAACCTTTTTAAATCGCCATAAAAAAATGTTGCTTTCTATTCAATGGTGTTCGATGCCAACTGATTGATGCCATTACTGTGGTTTCATCTCTACATAGATCCTCTGTTTACATGAGTTTCTATGATTTTTCATGAAACAAACTGGTTTAAATAACTGTCCTTCTCATTTTGATGAAATCACTATGATTCATGTCGACGGCTTTTTCTTATTATTTTGCTCTAACAACTGAATTTCACAATTCCTATCATAACTTAACCTACCACATCCTTACATCAAATGCATCTCAATTCACATTCCCTTTTCTTCTTTTCGCCTTTTTTCGGAAGAATGGCACTTCAAAGAACGAAAGCTTTGTGTACCTATAGTCTATGTGTACCTAGCATGTACTGTAGTCTCTTCACTAAATTTCACAGTTTTTTTCTTTTCATTACGTATAAGGACAAAATATTATATTTTCATTTATCAAAATATATTATATATTTGTTTCTTAAAAAAAAAGAAACGTGTAGTTTATTAATAAGAGTTATTCTTTTCATATTTTCAGTTTCAGATGAAATATTTGATGCATTTATCTGCTACGCAAAAGAAGATAGAAGTTTTGCGTATAAAATATTAACAACGTTAGAATCGCCGCCTTTTTGTCGTAAAATCTGTATTGATTATCGTGACTATGTTCCAGGAAACTGCAGGATTGATCAAACTGCAAAAATCATTGAACATAGGTGCATACGTTTAATTGCTATTTTGTCACCAAACTTCACCAGTTCATCAAGCGCTGGATTTCAAGTGAGAATTGCTTTAAATCTTTCGCCAGGTGAGAATTTATCTATTTGAGTCGTATATATAACAAGTCATAGAACTGCTAAAAACTTCCCCATTTTAAATACGGCTGAATTCATAAAAGACTCTATGTTTTTTAGATTTTCAACAACGTCGTGTTATTCCAATACTTTATGAAGAATGTGAGATACCAGAAATTTTAAGGCCTATCTATTATTTAAATTATAAAGATTTGGACGACTGTGAACGTCCACATTTTTGGAAAAGACTTGCTTCCTCACTTGGGTATGTTCCAAAGGGAAGTCCTCAAGTTCAGCTTAAAGGCCATAGAAGTCCTTACAATAGTCCAAGTGGAAGTCCACAAAATTTGAGGAAAATTAACGATACATCATTAACAGATAAAAATGACAGAAATAAATCTTCCAAGGAAAAGAAAGAACGTTCCTTTAATGACAAACACAAATTACGTGGTTTCAATTTACTGAAATCAAGAAAATGTCAATAGTACAGCGGCGTGCATGAAACGAAATGATTTTCGCTTGCTCACAGTCTCATCCAAAGGCAAAGATGTCGACACAAGATGTCTCTTCTCTGTCTTCCTCTCTACTGCTGTTAATCGCAATGGGATCTTTGTTAATAAATTTAGTAAAACATGAACGGTAGACGACCAAAACTGTACTAAATTGGAAATATATTAAAATAAATAGGTTTTTAGCATGCATCATGCATGTTTGAAAAATCAGGCTGGTTTCGTCTTTTTAGCGTTTTGTTTCATACGAACGAAGGACAATTTCATTCGAGCAACTTCAAGTAACGTATATAAAACAACAACAAAAAACGACTTTCAACACTTTTCATTCTTCACTCAATAGCATTAGGTTTTACTGTAGACATTTTGTAAATGTAGTTTTTCACCTCAGCTATATGCCAATCACGTTTTTGACTTTAACTATGGCCATCGACATTGTACAGAAATGCGTTGTTTATAAACAAAAAGAATGCCTTCTTAAATTTCATAAATTTCCGCGGAACTTGCTTATTGACTTGAAATAACTTCAAAGATGCGAAATTGTGCTTGAATTGCTTATTTCTGCATACAACAATGTGCTTTTAACCTTGTCGTGTCTATAACAATCATTCAGTCGTGAAGAATGTAAAATGAAACTTCGGCAAAAATTCAGATTTAAAATTATTGTTTTCTGACACTGTTTATGATCATTTTTATTATAAAGGAGCTTTTACATACAGTGTATTTTAAAGTTATTTAACTTTCCAAAAATACATGCAATGTGAATATGATAAATATGTATATCCTGAATGAGAAAAAAAGTGAAAAAATGTACAGCTCCTCTTGAATAAAATCTAGTTACAATTTAAGTAAACTTCTTAAAAATATCTCCAAAGTTACTCCACAGCAAAATTTCATTTTTATCAAAACTTCAACGCACATTACCAGAATTTGTGGACATCATGTATTTCTAGTTATGTGTGAACATTATTTTATCTCTGGTTATAGCTACATATTTGTTGTAAGTTTTATACCTACGATAGTGCAAGTTTCATTTCAGTATTGATAATATCTTATCATTGTTTTTCTATAAAATAAAAAAGAAAATTTTTTTAGAAATACATAAAAACAAACTAGTTAGCTACTTTAACTGTCACATCACAGTAGCTACTAAATGCATGTCACTTATTTTACATTAAAATCCTTTCACTTACTTTTCTGACACCATCGTCCTTCAAATCCAAATGTGCATCTACATGTAGGAACAAATCTTCTGCGTCGTTTCCCTCTGATCACCACTTTCCGACGTTTTAATCTACAAGATCCACCATTTTGACATGGATTTGGGCGACACTTTCTTGGTATTGCTGTTAAAAAATAAAAGTAAATATCTAATATTGTAAAATTCTATCTTTAAACGAATAAAGCTGCATAGATATTTCTCTGAATAGTTTAAGTTGCTGTATATATAGATATACATGCCTCTATGTTAATAAACAGTTTGTAAATTCTCTAAAACAACTCACCTGTCCAAGGAGTGAGATCCAATTTTCTGCTAGAGTCACAACTATACTTATGATTGTCAAGGAAAGCATTTCTCTGTATTGATATAATATCTACGTTGCTGCAAATTATGTCAGATAGTTTGCGTTGTTTCATAGCTCTACGTTGGGAAAACTTGAAAACACGTTTCTTTTCAAAGTAAAATCTGTCTCCGTCACGAAGTCGCTCGAACTGATCGATAACTAAACATGTGAAAGTGGGTCCAAGTATTGGATCTGGTAGACAATCGTCAATTGTTCCATAGCGTTGTTTTTTTCTCGAAATATGTGGAACGAAGTTTTTATCTCGTGGGTTTTCACCGATACCAGCAGGAAACACATCAGTATTTTGAGGTTTATCGTTGTAAACTTCTTTGAGACTTTTTAAAACTTCTGGTTTAAAGAGATCAGTGAGTTCATCAAAACTTTTTACATTAGAAAGATCAAGATTGGCAGGATACAATCCAGGATATTTACGTTGACATGATGCTAAAATATCACTATAAAAACTTAGACCATGTTCACGTGCACGTTGCATGTTCAAAGCAGCAAGATTTAGACCTTCTCGACTGATTACATCACGTTGAAACAATTCATTTGTAAGTCCTATCGCCATTTCATTGTCCATTTCTTGAGAAACATTGCCAACCAAACCGATAATCCAGCCATCAATTCCGTAACGCTGAACAAGTGTATTGTTAAAGAAAACTTGACGCAGGGGGACTGGAGAGAATGGGAAAGGTTTGTAGTCACGTTTAAGAAAATCAAATTTAGGTCTGACTAGACTATGACCCAACCGAAATGCTATTGTGGCGAATTCATTGGAGATCCCTGAGTTAACTTTAGGTCTGTATCGTTTGTACCGACGCAAAGCATTTTTTCCTATGAGAATCGGTAGCCATTCCTTGTAGGTAATTTGTTGAACCAAGGCACCAATAATTTTTCTTGTTTCCTGATAAATCTTCTCGCCTTTCCAAAATGGATTGATTTCTCTTAGACCAGTTGCAATACGATTGTGTTCACGAACCCAGAGTGTATGCATAGCTGCTAAAGCTGCTTGTTCGTTTACTCGGCTATCACCTGCGAGGAAACAAGATCCAAGATTCTCGCAAAGATTGTCGGGTTCACCTAACAGGGAATTGTCAATTGGAAGAAGATTATCACCAGAAGTAGCCAACAATCCACGATCATCTGTAAGTCAAATGATAAAACAAAAATCATTTTTGTTTTAAGTTGAACAAAATATTGCAATATTATTCCTAATTATGTATCTGATGATGGCTTTGGAATAAAGACATAACAAAGTTTCAAAATAAGATTTGGTTGTGCACATACAAAAAATGATTTAAGATATATGATATCAGCATATTAACTTCGAGAAACCTCAGAAAAGAATACAGAAGTTGTATTCATTTACAAATATCAAACTCAAAAGCGCTCGAAAAGTGGATAGTATATTATTCAATAAAGATTATTGGGAAAGCACCATTTTGTGGACTTCTCAATTTGCTGTTGATCATTTACTACTTACTCTTACGATCGCGTAGTTGTTTTGCCAAGTCATCCATTGAACCATAAATCATAGAGCCATCGATATATGCTGTATTTACATTGATTTGTTCTCGTGGCTCCAGTTTGTAACCATCAATTTGACATCTTGCTGCAGATCTGATCATTCTGATGCAAGATCTGTTATTTACTGGCAATATTGGGAAGCATGGATCGACAAAATCTGCTGCACTGCCATCGCATCTATTCAAGAAATTTTGTTAACAGAAGTTGATTTTTAAATACATAGTTTTGGTAGAGAATAGTCAATATTTATCTTTAGTCAGTGCGATTAAGCATAGATCATACTTTATTGAAGAGATTTGTGTAATATGTGGTATCGAGGGTAAAGCGAAATAAAGTAAAACAGCTTGATTTTAATTGTATGTCGTATATATCTTTCATCGCAATATCATTGTTAATTTTAAAGTAATAAATTATTTAAAAAACAATTCTTATTTAACAATATTCAATAGAAAGAAACGTGTCTTAGCTATACTTACGGCACATCAGCACATATATCACCATTTTCAGATTCCGGTGCCAATGTTAAATCATGATCAAGAAACTGTCCCCATTGCATGAACAAATGTGTTATACCATCGCGGTTTGGTTGATTCTTGTTTTGAATTACTATGTACTCATCTGTCACTTTGGATGGATTAGGTAGGTCTGGTGCATTAGGTTGATCCAGTCCTCCGCCTGCAGGTTCACTCAGTCCTTCAGCATCAAAGTAGAGAGCAGGAAGCAATCGTAAAAACACACTTTCAGCTGCGCCTCTAGTTGGCTTTAATAAATTGTTACATGTTCCGTTTATCGTACGATAAAATCTTGTAGATTTTCTGCATTTTATTTTTGTAACCTCTCTAGAACATTCTGTCTCTTTAATCAGCTTTTGAAGTGACTTAGCCGAGAACAACGCTTGAGGTCCAACAAAAATATCTGCATTGGTATTTACTAGAAAATAATAAATATTACATTTTTTCTACCGAAGAGTATATTAAATAATATACATTAACTTTTGATACTGTATGAAATATTAACGAACAATTTAAAAACTTACTTTTTGTTTTAATTTCTTTTCTCGCTTGTTTGAATACATGACTAAACTTACAGGCTGCCAAAGATGATGCTTTTGTTTTTCTACATTTTGTATACATTAAAATACTGTGAAGTCTTTTGACAAAACTATAATTTCCAGAAACAGGACGAAACGGATTGCTTGGTTTCACCTCCGACATTTTATACATAAGACCCTGCATTAAACCATCTGCGATTCCTTCTTTAATCATAATTAAATTGATGTTGCTTTTGTGAATGTTGTTTTTCAATTCGATGTTAATTTTAAACGTATCATTTCCGTTGAAAGGAATAAAACCTTGGAGAGATTTTGCCAACTTGATTTTTCCTTCTAGGCCGTCGTCAAGAGCGAAAAAGTCCAAAAATCTTTTATCGTTAACTTTCATTTTAAATTTTGAACTGTCATCTGCTTTGAATTTTGCCTTGAATAATACAATGCCTTTGTTTACTGATTCACTAAAAATGCAGTTTTCAAGAGAATCTATAAAAACAAAGAAATTTTAAGTGTCTTTCATAGCTACTTGAAATGATTCTGTTGCACTTCCTTCTGTTCTAGCTAAATCCTGTGGTCAGGATGATTGTTTGGCCTTACCACACGTATCTGGATTTTTAACAATACAGACATTTTATTTCTCCATATTTGAAGAACATGCGCCACACCGTATTGTTTTTAAATCGTATTAACCCGTCCACACGAATACGCTAAATCGCAAAAATACGCATAAAAGTGTACAAATCGTTGGAGTTTGTGGCTTGGATCCCAGTTTTGATGTTATCGTATTAGAAAATCTCCGTTTTAGCTGCCCACACGTATTCAACTAGCCGGCGTTTTCAAAAATATACAGTCTGAAGAGCGTATTCAAAAACCAAGGACAGAAGGCCAAAACGGAGAAAAAACCTTCGTTTATGAAAATACCCGGTTGCGTGTAGACAAGGCCTAAATCGATTCAACAAACAACTAAAAAGGTTTGTGCCCTTTCCAATAGCAATTTTCAGTAGACGATAAATCAACAACGTGTTTGAGTAGTATTTCATTTGCGTTTAGTGTAAGTTTGTATTTTGTGACAGTTTAATCAGTATTTCTTGTTTTATGTATATAAATTAGAAATGCGTGACACACGCATTAGAAATGCATATGTAACTCATGAGCAATACTGCAAACAACTACAAACTGAGTGATTACAGAACTGCAGCCGATAATTTTATGATTTAATTGGTTTTACTTTACAGCAAAAATAACTATAAAGTAAATGGTTTGAACAAACCATGTAAAAACATGTAAAAATATCTACAAACATGTAAAAATAACTACATCGATTTTTTTCAACTAATAAGTGCTAAAATATACATCACAATCTTTCCAAAAATAGTATATGCAAGGAATTTTATATAATGTGGAATGTTTAATTAAGAATAAATAAAGCTACTACATATCTAGTGTGTCTTTATATTTAGCAAACATAAATCAATGCGAGAATCAATAAATTAAAATATACATTTTTATAATTTTGTTCAGAAACTCACCTTTTGCCTGGGTTTTTGGAGTGTACAACATCATCAAAAATATAAATAGTATCTTCATCTTGTTTTTTTCCAGTGTTTTGTATCCGACCGATAGACTTGCTCTACCTTTTTACAATTCCCTTCGTTCTTTTATCTTAGAGCTGAGGTACTTAGCTATGCAGGCTTTTCGCCAGCAAGTAAAAACGTGTCAATATAGCTATAAGATGATACGCCCACGTTCTTACGCATTTCGCCAGTGAGAAACAAAGATCAAAGATAGCATTGTTTGTGCAATATTTTGACTGTTGTAATGTAAGCTTTCTATATTCTTTTGCAGTTCAGTTCTAATGTGTCCATGCTAGGCAGTTAATTGATCATTTTAGTGCGTTCATGGTTATACATTTCATTTGAGTTTTCTTTTCTTTTTTTTTCTTTTATTTCGCTTAATGACGTTTCATAACAATTATGCACCAATGTTCAATTATTTTGTTTTTCCTCAAATATGAGATTTTTAATGTAGGATTTAGGTATCCTAGCTGCTGTGAAAGACGAAATCAATTTTATTGGATGCGTGGTCTCAAAGTTTGCCACTCTTCTTTATATTGCATGTTAGTGATTAAAGAATTTTTTGCGAGGGTGTATTTATTCTGAATGATTTAAAATTACTGCTGACAGAGCTATTTGCCTATTTCAATAAAATGTTGCAGACTCTCCTATACAAAAGTCTAGAAAATTCAAGAGCAAATTTTCTAAGACAACCCATCTGTGTGCTCAGTTTGCTTGATAGAGTCCATTAATTATCATTTATCAAAGACGAGACCCATTTTATATGTTACAAAATAATTGTTTATGTAAGAAACAAAGATGACGAATGTGTTCTTGGGATCTACTATCCATGTTAAAGAAAGTATTTGTATGAATTTGATTTTCAAGGGAATTTTTTCGTTTTCATTTTTCTTTTGTAATTAAAAAAAATAACATTACAATTCGTTGTTCATGATTACTTTTTGATATTATTTATCTATGAACTATTTCTACGTCTTAATGATTGGTTAATTTGTCAACGTTATTATGAACTGAAACATAAATATGAATATATATAAATATGTAGATATAATTCAATGCTTAAGTGTTTTTGAGAATGGCACTGACATATTGCACTGACTATGTAGCTATAAATATTGAATTCTCGAACATAATATACTGAATAAAGACAAGGAAAAAAACTTGACAAGAGAGCGTACGGTTCTTTGCTGAACGTTGTAGGCGTATTTTTTAAATATGTGGGCTCAAAATTTATGATCTAAATTTTAAAAAAAGTAAATTGTGCTGTTTTTAATTTAAACTGGTCCAGCATCTATGGAAAGAAAGATTTAAGAAATACAAATGAAAATTTAAATGAGAGAAGACTTGCATTTGCTATATTATGGTGTTGCTATATAGGTTTCCAAGAAAATGCTTTTTTGCTAACAATGCCTTATTTCTAAAATAAACGTTTTACTTTTTTGTACGTGCAGTATTTTCTTAAATTTTACACGTATCATTTGGGTATGTTTACGTATTTTTAATTTTTGAGACTTTTGGCACGCGATTTGATTCAAGATTTCATCATCAAAACACTTAACATTTAGAAAATACTTGTGCATGAAAGGGCTTTGAGATCAATGACCTCATATTTACCTCATGATATCGAGAAAAAAAGAAATCCATTTCCCATATTATAGATCTTCATTAAAAACCAAAGGATCCTTTGGAAATTCACAAACCTTTCATGTAAACGAAAACTGACTAACTCGAATGAAGGGTCTATATAGTTCCCAGATAAATAATTAAATTTCCATGTCAATCCTATATAATTTAAATCCTGATTAGATTTTTTACTCACAGTATTGTTATTTGAACTTATACAACAAAGAATGCGTACTTCACATAGGTGAGGTGATTTTACGAAATAAATTTTTTAATAACATAAAATCCTATTATGTAACTCATGTTTTAAATTTTATCATATTTTATTTGCTCTGTTTTAGCATTGACAACACTTTACCTATACCTACGAAATATAATTAGATTAAAGTGTGCTCGATTTATCGGAGACAAATCTTTTATGAAGTTTAACTATTTATCATCATGTACAGTAGAAAACTATCCACAGTTATGTTTTTACAGTTTCTTCAAATGAGAATGATTTAGACAATATGATATTACTTGTCATTTGTTCTGAGTAAAAAGAAAAAAAATTCTTTCATTATCTCTCTGAAAATGTCAAAGCGTATTGTTTTCATTTGTAATTTTTGTTTAAATATAAAAAAGCGAGTTTAGTTATAAAACTGAGCTAATTATAGTGTAATAAAGGTTTGATTACCTCTACACCTTCTGGAAATGTTCAACTAACGCTTCAGTGAACACACTCTTGACACATCTTTAGCAACTTTCAGTAGTCTTTTAAGTCACAGCATTGAATATTGCTTTGTTGAATATTTGAATTTTGTTAATACAAATAAAGACTCTTTGAAAATTTAGATAATTTGACTCATACCGAAAAGTTCTTTATGCATCTCACATAGATGAATGGTGACGCACTTGGCACAAAAAACGATTGAGTTAGCTAAAGTATTCACAAAGGTATGATAGGCTATTTATGACAAATTTAGTATTCATTCCCAATGTAGAAGCTAACACCAATCTTTGATGCTTAACATACATATACCTGTTGTTTGGGTCCTTTGGGGGTAAGTATTCTTTGATTTAAAATAATTTTCCTTTCATGAATTCATAATCAGGAAAGTTGCAGCCAAAACCAAAAATTTGTTGTTCTTCATAGATTAAAGATAGCTATTTGAGACTAAGTCATTGGCATTGTCATTGGCACAGATTCATATAGTCAAGCTTGAAAGAAAAAATTTAGCAAACAGTGCATCTTTGTATAAAAAATGCGCAGACAGGTTAGTAATCATTTATGAATTGTAGCAAGTGATGCTGTTAACTTTTATTTTAGCTGTAATGATAGACATTCGTGTAAACTTGGTGTAGTCACTAGATAACGAGTGACTATAGTCTTTTTTTATTAGAGTCTTTATTCGCAAAACTTTGGTTTCCTAAATATGAAGTCCGAGTCTGAGAAATAAAAAATTCTTTATTGTCAGATTTCCTGCTACGAGAAATGGGTTTCATTCAGCAGAAGAACTTCTACAACTTCTACAATTTATAGCAGCTAAAAAACTAGTTTTATTCAGAGTTAACACCAAATTACAATAAAATCGCTTTACATACACACGAGCTTTGCAAACAGAGCTTATATTGTTTTTATTCTTGTTTTTGTTTGAGCATACCTTGATATTTGATGATTTTATGCTTTGTATTCTTTCATTCTTTACCACAAACCATAGAAAAAGCTTTCATAAAATGCGATCCGCTTTGTTTGCAAAAACCATTCTTTGATAAGCTGCGGCTGCTGCGCTCTGTTGTCAAGGCATTTTTTGGGACTGACATCATACGGATGTTGTTGATCAAGTACACGACGTTTCATTCACTTGAATTATCAAAATTCGAAAATTCACAATTCTGAATGCTGGTAAACAGCAATTAAAGGCATAGTGTTCGTTTGTAATACTATGAAAAAGCAATCGATTTTAACTGCCTTAATTTTTTACTCCGTCTCCTTCCTAAACACAAACTATCCCCCATTTGTTTGTTTCCTCATTTTCTTCAAAATTTCTTTTAAATATGAGCATTTTCTTTTAAATTTCCTTTTAAATTTCCTTTTAAATTTCCATTTAGTGAGACATATCGAACTGAAAGTTTCCATCGCATCAAGTCTATTTTTAGAAAGACTCAAAGTATGGAGCAACAATTCAAACACAAAAAACCTTATTGTATCGAGAACAAGTTGCAATTCCAGTAGAACTCGTTTAAGCAGCCCCTGATGCTACTGTCATGCAGCATTATAACGCCAGTTGTTCATCTTCCATGCAGGCAGTATAAGCTGTTTGGTCGGTAGCCATGGCCAATTTCTATGTCAGCTCCTTGTTTATTAATTTATTTATAGTATTTCGCATTGGTCTTAGTTGATTGTTGTCTGTTATTAATCTTCGCTATTTAACTTTTTGAACTAAATACCGTATTGTTTTATACGACACCTTCAATAGTTCAGTCCAGTCAAGAGCTGCATCACAGTCATGCATTTGACAGTTATCCCTGTCGCTATGTTGTACAATTGAAGAATTGAAAGTTAAAAAGTTCCTTTAAGTTAAAGTGTGATGTAAATTTTTACGAAATGTTAGTTATTGAGCTAAATAAGCGCGCGAAGGAAGCTGGGTAACTTTAAAGAATAGAGTCTGGGAGAGCAATGAATGCCTTTGCCCAGTCATACGTCACAATAAGAAAGAAAATTGACTTATATATGTAATATTATCGAGCAGAGCACGGAGCACATATGAATAGTAGATATAAGTATTTATATATTCATAAAGTATGTTCTCTGTAAATTAAGTGTTTTGCTGGGAAAAAAAAGTTATAAAATAAGTAATTTTTCTTTTCATCATTTTATATACATGGCATTCTCTTCAACTCATCAAAATTTAAAATAACATGATGCATGCCATCCATTTTGTGAAGAACACAGCCGTAGAATTGAAAAATGTCGTCAAAATGCTAACATCCATGATATACATCGTTTGCAACAATCTTCTATTGTTATAAATTATAGTAAATGAATTTAAAATTAAATTGATATAATTAAATATCTTTAATTTGATAGAACCATATTTATAAACAACTATATTAAAACTAAATGTCTCTTTGACTCAAAGTGAAAAAAAACATAACTTGCTGGTTGGCCAGCGCTTAAATAAATGGCTTGAAGAAAGCTGCCATTTATATTGTAGCTAAAACTTAGATATAGTTACAAATGACACAAAAACTTTCGTAATGACTAAATTTTCTGCACAGCAAAGTTAAATTATTTATATTATAATACAATGACGTAAACTGTAAAATGCACAAACTTAATAATTAATGGTTCAGACATGAAAAAAGAAATATATATTATAAATCAAGTTAATTTTATGTCATCAATCTTTGTAATAAATCATGTCCTTTTGAATTGACTTTTTTCTAAAAGAAGAAATACATATTAGAAACAATCGTTGAACGTATAAATATAAAAATATTTTGCTGTATTTTATCAAACGCCACATGTAGAATTAATAGGCTATTTATCATTGATAGGCTATTTTATTCGATTATTATCCTAACACAAGCAATTGCAACTAAATTCATACTTACTGTTTTGACACCATCGACCTGCAAATCCAAACAAGCATCTACAAGTAGGAAGACCTCTTCTGCCTCTTGATTGTTTTCTTCTGCGCTTTATCCTACAAGATCCACCATTTTTGCAGGGATTTGGGAAACAGGCTTTTGGGAATTCTGTCAATAGATAAGAGTAAATATTTTCATAACAATAAAATTTTTGAAATTTATATATTTGATCGCAATTATTATTAAATTTCATTGCCAAAACAATCATAAAGAAGAAAAGTAAATTAATTTTTTGCGAGTTTTTAAGTATGCCTTACTTTATGCATATTTAAGAAAAGCTAATTTGCTTTCGCTAATAAAATAGTTTAGTTTATTCATAATTCAACTCACCTTGCCAAGGTTTGAGATTCAATACCCTGCTTGAGTCGCAGACATTCTTGTAATTAGTAAGAAAAGCATCTCTTTGAACTGACACAACATCCACGTTGTTACAGACAACGTCAGACAGCTTACGTTGATTGATAGCTCTACGTTGACGAGATGTAAAAATGCCTCTCCTTTCATAGTAAAATCTGTCTCCGTCACGAACACGCTCGAATTGATCGATCACTAAACATGTAAAAGTCGGTCCAAGTATTGGATCTGGCAAGTCATCTGGTGTTTCATATCGTGAAAAGCGTTGTTTACTTCTGGGAATATGTGGAACAAAGCTTTTATCTCGTGGGTTTTCACCAATACCAGCAGGAAACACATCAGTATTTTGAGGTTTATCGTTGTAAACTTCTTTGAGACTTTTTTAAAACTTCTGGTTTAAAGAGATCAGTGAGTTCATCAAAACTTTTTACATTAGAAAGATCAAGATTTGCAGGATACAATCCAGGATATTTACGTTGACATGTTGCTAAAATATCACTATAAAAACTTAGACCATGTTCACGTGCACGTTGCATGTTCAAAGCTGCAAGATTTAGACCCTCTCGACTGATTTCATCACGTTGAAACATTTCATTTGTAAGTCCTATCGCCATTTCATTGTCCATTTCTTGAGAAACATTGCCAACCAAACCAATAATCCAGCCATCAATTCCGTTGAGTTGGGCAAGTGTGTTGTTAAAGAAAACTTGACGCAGGGGGACTGGAGAGAATGGGAAAGGACTGTAGTCACGTTTAAGAAAATCGAATTTAGGTCTGACTAGACTATGACCCAACCGAAATGCTATTGTAGAGAATTCATTAGAGATCCCTGGATCGATTTTAGGTCTGTATCGTTTGTACCGAGGCAAAGCATTTCTTCCTATGAGAATTGGCAGCCATTCCTTGAAGGTAATTTGTTGAACCAAGGCGCCAACAATTTTTCTTGCTTCCTGATAAATTTTCTCCTCGTCCCAGAAAGGATTGATGTTTCTTAGACCAGTTGCAATACGATTGTGTTCCCGAACCCAGAGTGTGTGCATAGATGCTAAAGCTGCTTGTTCGTTTACACGAACGTCACCTGCTAAAAAACAAGATCCAAGATTTTCACAAAGGTTAAGAGGCTCACCCAATTGAGTGTTATCAATTGGAGGTAGATCATCACCAGAAGTTGCCAACAACGCACGATCATCTAAAATATAATTGAAACTTTCAATGTTTTTGTATTAGCTAATGATTAATGATTACGTATGATTTGTTCATCACTTTCTAATTATTTCTTCTTTACGTTGAAATTTAAAGTACTCACTGGTATCACGAAGTCTGAGTGCTAGATTATCAGTTGAACCATAAATCATAGAGCCATCAATATATGCTGTATTTACATTGATTTGTTCTCGTGGCTCCAGTTGGTAACCATCAATTTGACATCTTGCTGCAGATCTAATCATTCTGATGCAAGACCTGTTATTTACTGGCAATATTGGAAAGCATGGATCGACAAAATCTGCTGCACTGCCATTGCAACTGTAGAAAAAGAATTTTAGAATGAGTCATGAAGTAATTTTGTTATATTTCATTTACTCATGAACTCATACTTCAGAGTGTTTAACAAAATTATGCTTGTTTTTTGGGCTAAAAACTACTTGTGTTCCAGCGAAATGGAACAATTTATGAAAGTAATAAACTTCAAATAATCTATTTTCAATAAATATTGTGATGGCACCTTATACATATTATTAACACTGGATTTAATAAGTTTTTTTATTCGTTAAAAGATAAACTTTTCCTGATTTTTACTTCATGAGAAATGTAACGTATACTTACGGCACATCAGCACATATATCGCCATTTTCAGATTCCGGTGCCAATGTTAAATCATGATCAAGAAATTGTCCCCATTGCATGAACAAATGTGTTATGCCATCGCGGTTTGGTTGATTCTTGTTTTGAATTACAATGTATTGATCGGTCACATTGGATGGATTAGGTAGGTCTGGTGCATTAGGTTGATCTAGTCCTCCACCTGCAGGTTCACTCAGTCCTTCAGCATCAAAGTATCGAGCAGGAAGCAATCGTACAAACACACTGTCAGCTGCACCTCTTGTTGGATTTAATAAATTGTTACATGTTCCGTTTATCGTGCGATATCGAAATGTTTCTGGTCCACATTTTATATCTTTCACCTCTGGAATACATCCTGTCTCTTCTATTAAGTCTTCAAGTGCCTTAGTGGATAACAATGCTTGAGGTCCAGCGTGAAATTGAGCATTTGGGTTGACTAAAACATTGAATTTGTTTATGTTAAAGTGAGGCCAAAATCAATTTTGTCAAAAGAGCAACAAACTTGTGCAAATTATTATTAACGTTACAAATATTAAAGTGATTAATGTAGCAAAAATCAAATTTGGTAAAACAACTACAAGCTTACGTGAGTAAGGAGAGTTCAAGGCTCCAGTTTATGTTTTATATAACAATCAAATTATTGGAATGATTTTATAAAAAAATATATGTTTTACTAACTTGTAATTTTCATTTGCTTTACGGTCTCTTGATAAATATGGTTGAATTTAGAAGTCGCTAATGATGATCGTTTAACCCTCTGACTTTTGGTCGACATTAATATACTGTGAATTTTTTTAGGAAGAATGTAGTTTCGAGAAATAGGACGATAGGGATTGCTTGGTTTCACCTCCGACATTTTATACATAAGACTGTGCATTATACCATCGGCGATTCCTTCTTTAATCATAATCAAATTGATGTTGATTTTGTTAATGTTATTGTTTAGTTCGACGTTTATTTCATATTTATTTTTCCTATTAAATGGTATTGATCCTTGCAATGATTTCGCCAACTTGATTGTTCCTCTCATCTTATCATCCAGAATAAAAAACGCTGCAAATCTCACGTCGGTAATTTTAATGTTAAACTGCGAAATACCCATCGCATTCAATTTTCCCTTAAACACCATAGCACCTTCATCAGCGGACTCACTTATGATACAACTTTCGAAAAAGTCTGTAATAAGAAAATTTAAATGCATTAAAAAACGAGAATAAATTATTTCAATATTTTACAATAAAGCTACCTTTTGCCTGGGTTATGTTGATGTAGGATATGAGCACCAATATCAACACAACTTTCATATTTCATTCAATGTCACAATATCTTCTGATTAATGAAATGATCTTCACTCTAAAAAAGTATCTTCTGTAGAAATGTTCCTTGTTCAACTAACCAACTCGCTATGACTTATTAGGCTATGTTCCTCGTCTTATATAGCCAAAGTATTCGTTGGTTACCGTTTTGTTCCTTATTGTGATTGTTTTGCCAATGGAACAAAAGTTCTCTATGATCATACGCCCATCTAAGTTCCGGATAAACAATAGCATCTGTTTTAAAAAAAAAGCGGTACGACTGTATTTATACATATTTTATGTATTTAGTTTTGACTGCTATTTTCTGCATTTGTTGCGAGGCGTTAAAACGTCATTGTGTTTATTTGTGGTTTTCTGTTGATAGGCATTCATAACAGTGTAGTTTATGTAAACATGTTTCTTATTTCTTCGTAAAATTTTGCTTTTCTTTCAAGCTTTTATCTTTTTTTTCCTTTGAAATTTGCGTGGTTTTTATTTTGTATAATTATGGTTTTCTAAGGGCCTGTTTATACGAAGCCGTTCATTTTAATTGAGCAATTGTGAAACTATGAATCCTAGACTTAATTCGATTTTTAAGTAATGTTCATTTCTCTATAGAGTGTAATATAAAAATTAACTTCAATTAGTCATGTGCACACAAGATAACACTTAATTGTCTTCAAGATCTTCTTATAATCGTTTTAGTATGCCTTTACATATCATTTATTTAACAGCTAAAAATCTTTTACCAAAAGTTGAAACGCAAGAGTAGAAATTAGCGGTTGATCATCAAGCTTTGATACATGGATACTTAAGAACATTTCAGTTCATAATAAAAGTTTAATAAAATGATTTCATGCATCCTACTCACGTGTATCAAACATGTTTTAGACACGTTCCTCATTCCAGACACAGGAAAGTCCTGACGTGCAAAAAGTTACGTATTCTGACGTGGGAGTGGCATATTATAGAAGAAATGTAAAAAAACTATTTTGCTTTTCCAAGTATTTTTGTGTATGTTCCATTGGCAAGTTTATTTGCCTTTCTTGAATTATACTTCAAACACAAAGTCTATGAAAGAAGCTTACTTTAAATGTTCCATGAACTATAAAATTTATTTTTATCAATTCAACGTTCCTATTGTAAATTCTTTATCCATACTTTGTTTCTATCTGTCCATAGAAAATCTTTGGCGAAATTATTTCTCTTGTAAAATTATTTCGACAATAACGATATTAGCCTATTTTCGATTAACGTATAAACGGAAATGTTTGTTAAGTTGTAGCATATTATATAACACTTTGTTTTTACTTTAAATGGAAAAAATCTAATACAGCTTATTGAATATTAAATTACTATTTCCATTCCCAAATTTCTTACCAATAAAATGGAACATAGTCAAAAATTTCGTTTTCGCTTGAACAAATACAAGTTAAATATTGACAAAAACAAATAAAAATTATAAATATAACAACTTGATGAAAAAAATACTAAATTACTGCCTTTCGTCTCGTCGTTGTGGACACTGACTATTTGAAAATTACATAACCACTTAAAATGCTTCCTTGTCAACAAAACACTTATGTCGTCACAGCTTCGAAGGGAAGTATTTTTTATGAAATCATTTTGTTTTCTCAAATTATATAACTTTTAAAGTAAATAATTGAACCCAAGAGTATCACATTCATTACATGTTTATAGATGTAGATTTTCCAGGTTAGTAGAGTCCTGAGAAGGACTGTTGATATTGATGTTGATGTTGATCTAGACTCCAAAACCCATGTTCCGTGTGCAGTGGTTTAGTTCCCCTTTTTATTACTGCATGTCATGAATATTGAAAGTAACGTAAATGGTGACCATTCATAATTTTAGAGAATGTTTTAACTTGAAAGCCTCCCATATTATGTTCTTTTTGGGTGTTATTTCCATCAGAGTGTATAGACATTTAGAAGTACGTATTCAGCAGCTATATATTGTCACAGCAACTAACATTTTATAAACCACGTTTTCATTGCTTATTATAGATAGATATTTTTAATGAAATAAAATAAATAATTACAGTTTAATGAAATGAATTCGATTTATAAATTGTGCTTTTAAAGAGCGTTATAAATTTAGGAAATTTGAAGTAAAGATTGTATTAGTATAAATGTAAATTAATATAAAAGTTTATTTACGTAAAACAAAACGCTGAGTTCATGTTTCAAGCGCAGGAAATTTTGTGTTTGGCTTTTGTAGTTGTAAAATATGCTTATTGAAATTTGGAAAAATCGAAACCTAGCTGCCTCTACGAAATAAAGTTGTGGAATATTCACTCATATGGCAACATATCTATAATTGTATCAATATGTATTCTAAGGTATGTTTATTTTTGCCACGACCTTTAACAGCATGTTGTATATATAATTTACATAGCCAGACTAAGTTTACACATTCTTGTATGATAAAACTTTGTATGTATAACAGAGTTTTGTAAGGACAGGTAAGTTTTGAAAAAAATAAAGTTATGGTAAAGATTGTCTCACTACACAGTTTTCCTTTGAGAATATCTTGAATGAAATTTTATATTTCATCACAACAGGAGATTTATTTATTGGCAATTGTTGAGAGTTTGTGTTTGTTTATATCGACTGTTGTTAGGAGTTTTTCGCTTCTTTCTATGTTTCTAATAACGCTATTTTAAACAATAAATGCGACTTTAGATGTGTTGGCCACAAGTCAAAACAGGAACTAATTTGCCAAACATGTCTACGATCATTGACTATAAATAATGTCTAAGTTCACAACCTTAGAAAGAATTGCATGAAGACAGCGTGTCTTAAGTATGATTTATCGTCTTTTGTATGGAAATTTTTAACAATATTTTTATGATTAAGGATGTACATCGTCCAAGCTACTGCAGGCTAACTGCAGGACTGTTGGTGTTGACTAATGTTTTGACAACCTAACAGTAGTCATCTTCAACGAGTTGATTATTATTAGGCTTCATAATACCATGGTTGTCTAGTATGTTAAAAATGATATGTTTCTTTACGTATTTTAAAAAAGTTTTGAAGCAAAATAATTTTGACAAACATAAAGTTATGTTCTTAAATCAGCAAAAATTTATTGCCTAAATTTGTAAGCTAGACATTTTCCAGCAAAGATCAATTTTGAGACCGCTTTAACCGTGTAGTGATGTAAACATTGTGCGTATAGATTTTATCTAGATTTAAATACAACATTAGCGTCAAAGGAAATAGCCTATACTAGACTAGTAGTTTTTCCCAAACACGCACTTTAACTTACGCAGTTGACCTTAAATCTTTAAAATTTTGACGAAATGAGGCTTAAGAGAGGTTTAGCTCTCTACAATAAATGCAGTGTCATTGGTGTTTCCTGATGCAGGAAGTATAGCATCCTCCGAAATTAACAAAATCTCAACTCTCAATTTTATTGATTTCAGAACATCTGGTAGAACTGAAATGGTATTTGACTTTTCAATTGCTATCGAAAAAGGAACAGAAATAAAAGCCGTTTCTCCATCCCCTTGAGATATGTGCACATTTCAGTTGTCGACATATCTTTCTGATGAAACGCCTTAAGGGGTCTGTGTCTGCGTCCAATTGTTTTGTGAAAACATTCGCTTTCGGTTATTAGATGGCTTCAAAATTCTTTTGTCAGTTCATGAGTGCCTTTGTTGCAAAAAAACATATAACAACTAAACTGTGCATTGGTAGAACATTTCTCAGAAATGTTGTAAAGAACATCTTCGTTAATAAGTAAATATAACTCTCAAAAAAGTATAGTGTTTTAGTACATTGTCTAATGTTTGGACATAACTTTGGAACTTGGAATAGCATATAACGATTAAACTGCTTTAACTTATTCTTTGCGTTAATGACATTGTTAATTGTGAAAATCATTTTGCAAACATAATAAAGTGCTACAGATAATACCATCCTATTTTTTTAATTGGGTGAAATATTCTAGAGATATTGATAATCAACTGATTTTAATATTGGATACGGTTGAAGACATTTATAAATATATGATTATCTTTTTGCTGGTGTATTCAAATACAATGACTTTTGAAAAAAGAGTTAAAGACTGCAAGATAGAGTTACATTGATATTTAAAATAAACGAACCTGCAAAATACCTGACCTGATGAATGGACAATTTTGAAATTTTTGTAATACAATTCTCTAGCAATGTATTGATATGAACACTAGCAGTATTTTCAAAAAATTATTTCGAGCGCCTACAACCGGAGAAGAATACGCGTAATAATGATTTTAGCCTTAAAATTCCAGAAGTAATAAAAGAATGGAAATCTGCTTGTCATTATAATAGGATTATATGCAATTATATAAATTAATCTATAATATTGGAAGTTTAAAACTATAGAAAACTATACAGTATTTTTTAGCTTTGATTATATTTAAGCCTAGTTGTATTCTTCTTTTGCATGTTTAATATATAGTTGCAGGATTTTAGTCAATTTTGGAAATATGTACATTTGAAAATAGCTTTCTCGAATGGTTAAATTTCATTCTTCATAAATTCACTAACAATAGCATTGTTATGGTAGCATTAAAATTTATGTAAACTGTTATAACTTAATGTCCTGTGTACAATTTTTCAATGGTGTTTTGTAAAGATCAATTAATATTCAGAGCCAAAGCTAGAACAGTAATTGGGGACAGGGGTAAGAGGTGTTTATTCATATATTCACTTTGTGCCAGGCTAGGTAATTTTCGTTGAAAGTGACTTTGCTTTCTATAGAAATTATGCAAGAAAATACATGTAAACATTCCACAATTAATATAGCCAACTTGGCGAATTAGCAAAGTCTCTCTCTGAAGCAAAAACAAAACATGTTTTTAGATCAATGTTGAATAAATACGAGCTTAAAAAGAGTAGTCAAAAAATTTCAAACAATTACATTTCTTATAGCATAAAATTATATAGTTACAAATGACACAAGAATTGTCCTAATGTCCAAATTTGCTGCACAGCAGTATTAACTTATCATCATAATCTATATTTAAATACTATGACATACATTACCAGAATGAACGAATTAAGATAATTTGTTGAATACGTAATGAAGGGAACATTTATCATTAAGTTAAACTTGCACCCCCATCCTTTACAACGTCCTCGATCTTTGAAATGGCCAATTCGATTAAAATTTTTCTAAAAATAGAATATTAAATTTATGTTAAAATTAAACAAGAAAATATCCATGAAAAAGAATATCGCTTTGTCTTGTTTGAAATTTGGTAAAATAATATTTGTTAGATATAAATTTCAAAAATACTAAGCCCTTAATAACCGAGCTTGAGGTCTTTACGGAGAAATAACGGACCGAGGTGTTTTTGTACAGACCGAGCCCGTAGAGCGAGGTTTGTACAAAAAGACAGAGTTCCGATATTTCTCAGTAAAGACCGAGAAAACGAGGTTATTAAAAGGATTGTTATATGGCATTATTTGAACTGAAACGAAGCTTGCTTTATTTCTCGTCCTTGCTGTTTTTACGGTTTGATTTTCACTTTGCTAGTTTTCGTCCATAAAAAATAAATCGTTTCAAATTGTATCGTCTGGATAGTTAAACTGTTTTCCAAGTATTTTTCTTTCGAATCACATTCGTAAATGGTTTTTTGTTTCGTTTATATTGCGTTTTGCTGTTTGCATTAGGAAGTTTGTTTACACTTGACTGTAAAATTACGCGTTTTGGACCGTGGTCGATTACGGAAAAATAATGGACCGGCAAAAATGTTTCTGAGCCAATGAAAGCGCACCATTTTGTCGGAGGTGACGCTTGCCATTACATTTGTAAACACCTTAAAGACAAATCCATTGGAAAGATTATATTCTTTAGAAAATATAAACCAATAGTGTTTTTCTAAATGAAATTTGAATTTAAAATTGAGAAGCTATAACTTATTTTGACATACACGGCATCCGCTATTGATAACGCTTGTCAATGAGCTTTATTAGAAGTTGTTATATTGTTTTTTCATTCCAACACAAACTACAGATACTAAGTGCAGTAATGACATTTATATTAGCTTATTTTAAATCTGCTCACTTACTGTTTTGACACCATCGACCTGCAAATCCAAACGAACATCTACAAGTAGGAACAAATCTTCTACGGCGTCTATGATAGAACTTTCGAAAAAGTCTGTAATAAGAAAATTTAAATGCATTAAAAAACGAGAATAAATTATTTCAATATTTTACAATAAAGCTACCTTTTGCCTGGGTTATGTTGATGTAGGATATGAGCACCAATACCAACACAACTTTCATATTTTACTCAGTGTTACAATATCTTGTGATTAATGAAATGATCTTCACTGTAAAAAAGTATCTGCTGTAGAAATGTTCCTTGTTCAACTTATCAACTCGCTATGACTTATTAGGCTATGTTCCTCGTCTTATATAGCCAAAGTATTCGTTGGTTACCGTTTTGTTCCTTATTGTGATTGTTTTGCCAATGGAACAAAATTTCTCTATGATCATACGCCCATCTAAGTTCCGTATAAACAATAGCATCTGTTTGAAAAAAACCGGTACTACTAAATATAGACATATTGCATGTTTAGCTAGTTGAGTGGCAAAACGTCATTGCTTTCACATATATTTGTTGAGAGGCAGGACAGTGTAGTGAAAGTAAATATGTTTCCTATATCTTTGTAAAATTTTGCATTTCATTCAAACTACTCGTATTTCTTTTCCCTAAATTATTGTATTCTGATGAGTTTTTCTCTGGAAAAACAAAAGAGATTTCTTTGAGTTTAGCGTGTCTTCGTATAGCTACATTGGTGATTTTAGCTGTTTCAATTATCTTTTGACATGTATATTTTGTTATGATAATGTCGATGGATAAAGTGTTCAGTTTAATTGAGCAATTATGAAAGTATGAATGCAGAATTTAATAGAAATTCTAAGTAAAGTTCAGATTTTTGTAGAATAATATAACAATTAACTGCAGTTTATTCCGTGTTGAGCGCACGCAAGTAAATCTTCTTCAACTTGAAGACCTTTTTTATATTGAAACGCAAGAGAAAAATTAGCGATAGATCAAGTCTTGATACATGGATACTTTAGAACATTTCAGTTCATAATAAAACGTTAATAAAATGATTTCATGCATGCTACTCACGTGTATCAAACTTGTTCAAGCACGTGCCTCATTCCAGACAAAATGTGAGAAATCACGGATGTACGAAAAGTTACGTATTTTGAACTGGGAGCGGCATATTAAGGAAGCATATTTGTAAAATTAAATATTTTCTGTTTTCAAATACATTAGTGTTCTTTGAATAATTTTTGTAAAGTTCTTTTGCTTTTTTTTGAAATATTTTGCTTTAAAGACAAAGTCTTATAATTTGTATATATAGCTACAGCTTTTAGCTATATAATAAACACAGTGCAATAAAATTAATATACTCGTTGACTAAATCGGGCAAAACATCTCATTACTTAATTTTGGTTATCGTGTTTTAAAATCACTAAAATAAACTATTTTTTGTATTGCACTTATTGACAATAGTTTCACAAGAAAATCTGTGTTTTTATTTATTTTTGTAACAAATTATGTATACTTAGGGGCTGATTCAATGAGTAGCCGAGTAGCTGGGGATTCAGCCTAGCATTAAATGATTTTGGCAAATGGAAACAATAAAATTAATATACTCGTTGACTAAATCGGGCAAAACATGTCATTTTGGACGGTAAAGTTATCAGTATAAGAGGGAAAACAATGAAAGTAGTTAAATCAATGATGAAAAATTGATTTATGTTAATTCAAGATTAAGGGTCGGTTTAACGAAGGCGATTGAGTAACGGTATCTTCTTCAAAGATCTCAAAGGAAAAAATGTACAATTCAGTTAAACTGTGCAATTAATAAAATACAATCTTGGTACTAAATTTACAAGTTCCATTATCGTATGGCAAATACAACCACCTTTTCTAAAAGTTTGAAAACTTGCAATTACTATATACAACGAATAACGTTATCCTGGCTTCGTTCAACCGACCCTTTCAAATTTTTTATCCTCACTTAATTTTGGTTATCATGTTTTAAAATCACTAAAATTAATTATTTTTTCTATTGCCCCTATTAACAATAGTTTCACAAGAAAATCTATGTTTTCATTTATTTTTGGAACAAATTATATATACTTAGGGACTGATTCATTGAGCCCGAGTAGCTGGGGATTCAGCCTAGCGTTAAATGATTTTGGCAAATGGAAACGATTCAATACTCATCATCAGATAAATCTTCCCGCACAGTTTCACATAATTCTGATTTAATATCTAGGCAAAACATTTAAAATCAAAACCACCAATTCGGCCTAGTTTGAGAATTACAACAGAAATGACCTTGTGGCGCCTAACAAACAGTTGCCTCCTTTCAATGCCTCGAAATTATTACAAGCCTTACTGAATCCCGGATTTGGGGGTTAAATAAACAGCTCCTTACATCAGTTTCAAATGAAAGTCTGTCGGCATTTGGTGAAATAAATAATATTTTAAAATATTAGAAAATTGGAAAAATATTTTCTCTCGTTTTAGATTATTTTGACAATATGACGAGCCTATTTCAAATATTCGGAACGGAAATGTTTGTTTTGTTTTAATGTTGTGACTGATTTTGTCCTTAGTTTAAATTCGACATATTCAACTACACTGCATTTTGTCCACTTTCTGTTGATGTTCATTTAAAAATTACGTAAACCACTCAAAGTGTGTATTTCAATGCGATAATGTACTTCCTTGTCAACAAATCACTCGTTTTTACAGTTTCGAATGATGTATTTTGAATGAAATCTTTTCGTCTTCGCAAATGATATAACTATTAATTATGATATAAAGACTCTTACATCCTATTTTCCGCGTGCTGCGTTTTAGTTCCCCTTAGAAATTATTTTAATCTTATAATTAGCTAAACGCGTAAATTAGAAAATCAATACATGGATTTTCTGAAGAATTTTCAAGGTAGGATTTAAACATCACAAAATTTATCGTTGGCTTATTGCTGTGACGACGGAAACGTGAATGGTAATTCATAATTTTGGGGAATATTTTAACTAGAAAGCTTCTCATATAATGCTCTGATCGGGTGTTCTTCAACGTATAGTGAATAGTATAAAGCAAATTCCGAAAAAGCAAGACATCTTGTGGTTGCAAAATATGCAGCAAAACAAGACGAGAAGTGAACTGTAAATTTTCGACTTTATTTTAAAGTCTTCCTCAGACAGAATGATCACTTCTCGTCTTGTTTTGATGTTTATTTTTCAATCTCAAAATGTCTTGCTTTTTCGGAATTTGCTTTATACTATATTTCTTTAAATTATCGGCCGGTCATGGTTTTTGGTATAGTGAATAGAGTCAATGAACATTTAGAAACACTACATATTGTCTCAGAAAGATTATTATAAACTGCGTTTTTAGTGCTTACTAGATATTTCTGTTTAAAAAAACAAATAAATTCAGTTTAATGTAGAAAAAACGACCATATGCAACATACTGCAAAATAATGCAACACAATATAGTTAGATCAGCTCACGACTCTTTAATTCTAGATAGTAAGTACATGATGCTTTTTGTGGAATATTCACTAATATGGCAACATATTTATAAACGCATCAATATATAGTCTAAAGTATGTATTTATCAATACTTGGCACGGCGTTAGGTAATTTGCATGGCCATAGTAATTTTGCATACGTATAACAAAGTTTAATCGTTTAATTGTGTCACACAAACACTTTCAATCATGCAGATGTAAGGAGATGTCGTCAATATATGGTAAGGATTGTTTAACTTGATTAAATTTTACACAGTTTTTCTTTGAGAATATTTTGAATGAAGTTTTATAATTCATCACATAGTTTATCGAAAGTAGTTGGGATTTTGGTGATTGCTATTACTAACTTTTACTATGATTCTGTTTTGACGCTATTTTGAAGAATGCGTTCACGCAGATTAACAAGACATAGTATTTTATACAGGGGCGGATTGAAACTACGTCACATTCAGCACGTGACGTAGTTAAATTCTTCACAGCAGCGGAAAAAATTAATCAAATTTTAAATGCCCCTAGCTCAAATTAAAAATAATTTGCCGCGTGTGGAACGAAGTCCGTTTTGTCGAAATGCCCCTAGTTGAAAATAAAAACAATTTGCCGCGTGTGGAACGAAGTCCGTTTTGTCGAAATGCCCCTAGTTGAAAATAAAAACAATTTGCCGCGTGTGGAACGAAGTCCGTTTTGTCGAAATGCCCTAGTTGAAAATAAAAATAATTTGCCGCGTGTGGAACGAAGTCCGTTTTGTCGAAATGCCCCTAGTTGAAAATAAAATAATTTGCCGCGTGGAACGAAGTCCGTTTGTCGAAATGCCCTAGTTGAAAATAAAACAATTTGCCGCGTGTGGAACGAAGTCCGTTTTGTCGAAATGCCCCTAGTTGAAAATAAAAATAATTTGCCGCGTGTGGAACGAAGTCCGTTTTGTCGAAATGCCCCTAGTTGAAAATAAAAATAATTTGCCGCGTGTGGAACGAAGTCCGTTTTGTCGAAATGCCCTAGTTGAAAATAAAAATAATTTGCCGCGTGTGGAACGAAGTCCGTTTTGTCAAAATGCCCCTAGTTGAAAATAAAAAACAAGCCGCGTGTGAACGAAGTCCGTTTTGTCGAAATGCCCCTAGTTGAAAATAAAACAATTTGCCGCGTGTGGAACGAAGTCCGTTTTGTCAAAATGCCCTAGTTGAAAATAAAACAATTTGCCGCGTGTGGAACGAAGTCCGTTTTGTCGAAATGCCCTAGTTGAAAATAAAACAATTTGCCGCGTGTGGAACGAAGTCCGTTTTGTCGAAATGCCCCTAGTTGAAAAAAAATAATTTGCCGCGTGGAACGAAGTCCGTTTTGTCGAAATGCCCTAGTTGAAAATAAAACAATTTGCCGCGTGTGGATCGAAGTCCGTTTTGTCGAAATGCCCCTAGTTGAAAATAAAACAATTTGCCGCGTGTGAACGAAGTCCGTTTTGTCGAAATGCCCTAGTTGAAAATAAAAATAATTTGCCGCGTGTGGAACGAAGTCCGTTTTGTCGAAATGCCCCTAGTTGAAAATAAAAATAATTTGCCGCGTGTGGATCGAAGTCCGTTTTGTCGAAAGGACTAAGAGCATTTTTCTATGCGTCTTATATAAAATTTTTATATATCTGAGTTTTACAAATGGAGAACAAATGAACAATTGTAGGCAGCGTATATCACTTACTAATACAGTAATACTGCATTAACAGACAATCTTTGGGTTAGTTAAAGTTGTTAAATTTATACCTAATTTTCTGGACATCCAGACACACCATAATATATTCACAATTAAAACAAAAGACAAAAAAGCTGAGGCTGTATAAAGCAACACACTCTAATAATATCAACATCATATATTATACTATAATCTCTGCTTTAGCATTGAGCACTCTATCTATACGATTATGTTTGTGCTAGCTACTACAGCTATCACCACAATAATCTTTTACTTATATATTTATTATTTATATATATTTATATTTGTAAAGTTCGTTTCGTGTTTAAACGTAAAGGTAGAGCCTGCATTATAGTTTCATTTATTTTAGTATTTACGTGGAAGTGTTACAAAATGAGTGAGTCAAACTTTATTTATCAAATCGTAATTCATTATTATTGAAACGTGTTCAAAGGAACTATAACAGTTGCTTGACAATGGCTACAAGGAACGATTTTTATGTTGTGAAGACTACTGTGAAATACTGGTGAGCCATGAACATTTGATTGCCTTGAGACGAAATTCTGCCAAATGAAAGACACTAAAGATAAACTAGAAGATACATTAAAGATAAACGTCCTTCAATGAAGTCAACTTAGTAAAGTCTTCATATAATATTGTTGATGGGGGTTGATGAAATATTGCAGATCAATTGTAGATACGATTAATTTTGTCTTGAGCACCAAGAAAAACAACGACATATAGTGCCATACATTTATAGGCCATAGTGTATTAAATACCATGTACTTGTGGTTATATTGAACTGCAAATTGCAAAACAAAGGTAAAAGGTTCAAAACTACTGTATTTTCTATGAAATAACTACTAATGTTCAAGCTCTATCTTAAATTTATTAAAATAATTAATATTTTTCAATTAAATATTTATCTTTTCAGACTACCCATAATTTTACTGCTCGATAATGAAAGGATCTTTGAGCGATGCTTTGTCAGTGTAAACTTCAGGAAGATGAGATCTATAGCGTCTCTTGTAGGATGATGGTAAACAATATTGTGGTTTAGACATTGGTTACTGAGATATTCTGATGCTTTCTGCAAGAAAACTTTTCTTTATTGCTGAACAGTAACGTGGTTTAAGAATTGCTGCCTGAGAAACGCTGGTGCTTCAGTCTGAAAAGAACTACGTTTCATTGCATTTTATTCAGCTGATCTCTATCTAGTTAATACCATGAAATGTGAATAATTGCAATGAAAATTTCATGCAGGATCGGGTTATCGCCATTGCCCTAACTAATGCAGGAGCGGATCCAGGAGATTATGAAGGAGGGGGCTGAACTCTTTGAATTAGTTTGAAAACTGAAACTCAGATATATTATTCAATTTTCTTGGGTTTTTGTCTAGCAAAAGGGGTGGGGGTGGGGTGCTTCAACCCTGCTAATGTGCTTACAATTGCCATTTGATATATGCAAGAAACGTTCACTGTATCAATAAAACAAACACTAAACTGACCAGTTATTTCTTTGATATTAGCCAAGTATTGAGCTGTTAACGATTTTAATTCTTCTGTTGCTTGATAAGGCAACGTAGCTGCATGGTTGTATTTTATACATATGTGCAAAAAACAGATAACATACAACATGAATAAATTTATTGAAAATATATAATCCTTTTACATTGAAATATAAAAAGTTTATTCAGAATGAATGCGTTTTTGAAACACAAACATCCTTATACCGATGTAATAAATAATCATGGAATATTATTTTACTAGGTATGAAAATTCATTGTCTGTGAATATAAATTCAGCCTGTAGTTCTAAAGTAAACATTCATTAGTAGTTAGTTTAAGACAATTAAAAACGACTTAAAGCAAAAAATCCAGTTGGTTTTCACACTCTTCAGTCTTCACTTAATGGCAACAGCACGATGACTCTAACAAAAAAATATTAAACTTGAGTTCAATCAGTCTCATACAAGACTTTTTATTTGCAGAATTAAAACATATGAAGATGTTTTGATTATATGTCATGTTATAACAAAATAAATTCAAAACCGAGCAAGAGACATATAGCTTTAATAAAGTCACTATTTTAAAAATTGTAAGTACGTACCTCGCCATGGTCTAATATTCAGTCGCCTTGTTCTATCGCAAACTTCTTTACGTCCTTTTGCAAAGAAAGCTTTTTGCTGAACTGATATAACATCAATGTTGTCGCAAATTACATCCGACAACTTACGAGCTTCTATTGCTTTTCGCTGAGCATCCGTAAATCCTTCTGGCAATGGATTTGTGTAAAAGAATCTATCCCCTTGTCTTAACCGATCAAATTGATCTTTGACGATACAAGTAAAGGTAGGTCCTAGAATTGGGCTTTCATTTGCTGAAGAAATACGCGGTTTTTCACCAATGCCAGCTGCAAACACATCAGTATTTTGAGGTCGATTATTATAAACTGATTTAAGACTTTGCAGTACTTCTGGTTCAAAAAGTACACTAATATCGTCAAAACTTCTCACACGAGAGAGATCAAGTTCGCTGGGATACAAAAAGGGATAACGCCGCTGACATCTTCTTAGAAATGCGCTATAAAAACGTAGGCCATGTTCACGTGCACGTTGCATGTTCAATGCAGCAAGATTTAGACCTTCTCGGCTGATTTCATCACGCTGGAACAATTCATTTGTGAGACCAATCGCCATTTCATTGTCCATTTCTTGAGAAACATTGCCAACCATTCCAATCATCCAGCCATCAATCCCGTTGACTTGAGCCAGTGTATTATTAAAGAAAAGTTCGCGCAAGGGGACTGGAGAGAACGGAAAAGATTCATAGTCTCTTTTGAGAAATTCAAACTTCGGTCTGATCAAACTATGTCCTAACCTAAATGCTATTGTAGCGAACTCGTTAGATATAGAAGCATTTACTCTGGGGTTATATCTGATGTTTGAATCTAATACATCAGTTCCAATCAGAATTGGTAACCATTCTTCATATGTTATATGTTGAATCAAAGCACCAACAATTTTTCTTGCTTCCTGATAGATTTTTTCTGAGTACCAATGTGGATTTATTCTTGAAAGACGTCTTGCAATACGATTGTGTTCACGAACCCAGAGTGTATGCATAGCTGCTAAAGCTGCTTGTTCGTTTATTCGGTTATCACCTGCGAGGAAACAAGATCCAAGATTCTCGCAAAGGCTAAGTGGCTCACCTAATTGACTGTTGTCAATTGGAGGAAGATTATCACCAGAAGTTGCCAGAAACCTAAGATTTCCTAAAAATAAATACAAAAGAATTATTAGACTTTTATGAATTTTAGCAAACTTTTAGAGGCAGTTTTATAAAAGTGTCTGTTTTTGTTATTTGAAAGAATGTTGTTTTTGTTATTCTTACTTATACTTTGTATGTTTGACAATGTTTTACATATTCTTACCGGCATCACGAACTGCGTCTTGAACGCTTTCTGATGACCCATAAACCATAGATGCATCAAGATATGCAGTATTTACATTAATCTGCTCACGTGGTGTAGCTTTCTTAAAATCACATCTTGCCGCAGATCTAATTAATCGAATACATGGTCTTTGTCCAAAAGGCAAGATTGGGAAGCATGGATCAACAAAATCTTCTGCGCTACCATCGCACCTGAAATTTAAGAGTATGACAAAATAAACAATTTATTTCGTTTAACAAAAGTTTTTAAGTAAAAAAACAGATCATTTTACATACGGTATATTTTCACATATGTCACCATTCTCAGATTCCGGTGCTAATGTTAAATCATGATCAATAAACTGTCCCCATTGCATGAACAAATGCGTGATACCATCGCGGTTTGGTTGATTTTTATCTTGAATGACGATGTACTCATCTGTTACTTTGGAAGGATTAGGTAGGTTTGGTGCATTAGGTTGATTTAAACCTCCACCTGCCGGCTCATTCAGTCCTTCAGCATCAAAGTATCGAGCACGAAACATGCGGGAAAAAATAGTATCAGCTGCACCTTGTGTTGGATTATCTAAATTGTTACATGTTCCATCTATCGATCGATAAGCTTGATTTGCTTCGCATTGAATATTTGAAATCTCCGGAATGCAACCAGTCTCTTCTATTAGTTCTTCAAGACGTTCTTCTGAAAACATGCCTTCAGGACCCACATAAATTTCAGCGGTCTCGTCAACTGAAATAAATTCTTTTATTGAAATTTCATCTTTTTACATGATACAGACGAAATTTCCCAAATTTTTTGCATAATATAAATATATTTATAATAAGTATTAAAAGTATTAAAATTATAATATCTTACCCTCCGTTTTGATCAGTTTTTCAGCCTCTTTGCACACCTGATTAAACTTGCATGAAGCCAGTGAGTTCGCTCTTGTCCTTCTGCTCCTTGTTGCCATAAGGATGCTATGCAATTTTTTTGGTAATCTGAAGTTTTGTCCAGTGGGTCGGAAAGGATTACTTAGTTTTACTTTATCCATTACAGACAAAGCTTTTTTAAGCAAACTATCGGCGTAGCCTGCTTTCAAAACATACACCACAAGATTGATCTTATCAAGAAGTATATTATTTCTTATGTGCCTTAGCTCACAGGTTATTCTGAAGGTTCTTTCGGAACCAAATGGAATGAGACCAAAAAGTGTCTTATTTAATACAATTATTCCATTTATATTATCGCCAAGTACAAGAACTGCCTTAAATCTTCCATCGGTAACTAAAAGCTGGAACGCAGCGCCAGTTGTTGCTCTGAATTTCGACTTAAACACGCCAGTTAGAAGCGGTGTCTTTTCACTGATGATCGATTTTAAAAAAAAGTCTGAAAGAAGAGAAAATCTTGTTAAATCTTTGAAGGATAATATCTCCGTTGTTCATAATTTTTTTCGTCTAGCAATCAATATTAAAATGGGTATTTTCTAGATAAAAAAGTGTAGATAAAATTGTGGCAAGTAATTAGTTGAAGTCGCATGTACTAAATATAAACAAAAAGTCGTCTTTTTCAGTCTTCTAAATCATCTGCCTTCATTGTTAAATAAAGATTTTAATTTCCACTGATGTAAAAACGTTGTTGAGATCAGGAAAAAATAACAGTTTCATACGGTTGGTAAAACAAAATTTAGCTATTTATGAAAAAGGGCATCAACTTCAAACAGATTTGGCCATGAAACATAACGGCTAGATGTCTCTAAACAAGCATTTACTGTTTAAGGAAGAATATTTGTCGTTTGCTCCATTGATAAGATGTTTGAAGCAGTCTTGGTTTCTTACCTGTAGCTTGACATGTAGTAATGTACAAAACCAACAATAATATCAATTTAGTCGTCATTTTCGTAAGCTACAGCTGAACAGTTGAGTTGCTTGATCAGTAAGCTTGCTCTATCTCAGTCACCGATTCACTCGATCTTATATATCCATGCTGGTAATCGGTAATTACTTTAATCTCTAAGGAGAATTTTGTGTTGGAATGTCTTAATATCAAAACCTTTTGTATGTGCCATTAAACTCCCCCAGAAAAATTAAGATACCGACAGTTAATTGTTCACGAAATTTTTTGCTTGTATACAGAGACGCACGATCAGAGAGATTTAAAAAAACATCTAGCGATTTTAAGAATATGGGAAAATGGATTGTGCTTACGACGTAAACATTTTGCCCACTAATATAGACACTTCATGGGTAGGGATCGATACTTTGGGCTTTTTTGTTCAGACTACTTTCACCATAGTAATCCTCAAAAAAGGAGGTTTATGGAGCCCAGTATAAAAGTTAGTATTTCCTTAAAAATGATATATCTGAAAACACAACACGTTTGCCAACACAAATTCTTCACATGTGGCACACAAAATCTTCACGTGTACACTTCATAATTCCGAAGTGTTTTGCGACTATTATAATAATCTTTAAATAGGCATTCGCTGCCCACAAATGGCAGGAAATGTCTACTCAAATAGAGTGATAATTTGTTTAACAGTTTTACTGTTGGTCTCAGTGAGTTGTATTATTACAAGACATATAAATTGCTAAAGATTTTTACTCAAGATTATTCAACCATGTATTGAAATAGCTTGCTCAATTGTTGCAAGTACGACCATTTTATTAAATTTATAGCGTTTATCAATGAACTTGAATTCTTAAAAAAGACACATTTTAACTGCGATTACGTTAAGATTAGAGTCAAATTTATATTTAAACTTTGCATGTTATCTTTGTCCATCACCAAGGAGTATTTTATGCTCTTTTTTAATGATAAATGCCTCCAAAATTCAGTGCATACTGACACACTCTCAAAACCCTTAGAAAAATTTTCCTTGGTTGTTTTGAAGACTTATATTATACTTGAGAAAGACTAAGCGTGCCGAAAGACGTCAATTAGTCAAGTTTAGATTAACAGAATCTACCAAAACAGGTAATGTTGTTTTTAAAATGGCCATCATTGATTCCGGTAGCTTTATCGTTTTGTCAAACATGTGTATTATAATATGCATTTTCAGCTGTGCTAAAACCTTCATTGTATATTACTAATATGACTTCAAAACTTTTGTTGTTATATAACTTCAAAATCTTGTGTTACATAACTCAACACTGAAGTTTCACTTAGCAAAAATAGCAAATTCTAAATTATATAATTTTCACTTTAATGCTTAACATTTGTGGGTTCTTCGGCGCTCTAATGAACATTAATTTTTTGTTGATGTCCAAAACAAAATAACGGAAACAAGATATGACGTTTTTGTTTTGTCATCTGTACCACGCAAGGCTACACGATCCCATACCACGCTTAAGTATGAAGTGTGTATATACTGTTTGTTAGATTAACAACATGATAAAACAATTATGTTTACAAAGTACTTTGAAAGTTTGTCTTTCTTTACGCTACGTAAAAGATATAAACCTGTTACACTCAACGTTTACCAATTGTTTTCTCAGTAAACTTTTTTCGATGATTTTTCAAAATAAGAAAAAACATGCATATGACATAAGCAACTCACACAGAGAAATATATATACCCACTGAAGTATTTGGGTAAAAGGATGTTATGGTTTTTGTGATTATAAGCATCAGAACAGGAACTTGTTAATCAATATAGACCATTAATTCATCATATAGAGCATAATAAAAGTTGCAATTGATAGCTAGCTAAAGCTGTTTAAATTGCCCGTTACAGAATGATCGTTTATGTGTATAGCAAAATATACCAATGCTAAATATGTACAAGTTTCAATTTCTCGTCTATGGAGGATTAATATTTAAAACTTAATTGTTTTGCTAAATAATTATAGTTAAATATAGTTGTCTTGTGTAGCAAACCTTTGTTGTTATATAACTTCAAAATCTTCTGAGTTACATAACTCAACACTGAAGTTTCAGTTAGAAAAAATAGCAACTTCTAAATTATATAATTTTCGCTTTATCGCTTAACATTTGTGGGTTCTTCGGGGCTCTAATGAACATTAATTTTTTTATGGATGTCCAAAACAATATAACGGAAACAAGATATGACGTTTTTGTTTTGTCATTTTTTTGTACCACGCAATGCTACACGATCCCATACCACGCTTAAGTATGAAGTGTGTATATACTGTTTGTTAGATCAACAACATAATAAAACAATTATGTTTACAAAGTACTTTGAAAGTTTGTCTTCCTTTACGCAGGTAAAAGATATAAACCTGTTACACTCAACGTTTACCAATTTTTTTCTCAGTAAACTTTTTTCGATGATTTTTCAAAATAAGAAAAAACATGTATGTGACATAAGCAACTCACACAGAGGAACAAGAGTGCTGCCCAGAAAAGTATATTGCAATTGGAAATTACATTTGTAGCTATTTACAAACCTTGAATTTATTCAATCACAACTTAAATTATATTCATATCAATTTAAAATATTGACAGTATAATGCTCACCGATTGCTATGATTTAGTTTATAGCGCTTACTGATACACATTCATAATTTCCTATCATTTTTGTAGAGTTTGTCATGTTCTAGATTACAAGTAACTTAAAATTCATTTTAATTTTAAGGAATTTGTTTGTCAAAGGAATTGATGAATGCTCAATGAATAACGTCATATTAGTCTACCATAAATGCTTTATTTGAAAATCAAATATGAGAGTCCATTAGGATGTAGTTCTGAACATTACACTTGTGAGAAAAATGGACAAATTCAAGTCATAACGTTATACAGAAATTTTCCCTCTTTAGATAGATTTTTGTCCCTCAGTTACGGATGTTTGCATTGTTATTCGGAAACATATTTTGTTCGCATCTGTTCGCATTTTGTTCGCATCTGTTCGCATTTTGTTCGCATCTATTGTGAATAAGTCGTTTGTAAATTGCCGGTAATTGCTGTGATCTGTTCAGGGGGGTTTGTTCCAAGTTGGTATACCAACTTTCTAATGTAAGCCGTTGTATATAGTCAGTGCTGTATTTAATGCATTTTGCCGAGTCCCACTCAATGTTGTGCTTTGTGAGTCGGTGATGTTCGGCAATTTGATTAGCTTTGTCTTGTTTCTTTGTAGCTCGCTTATGTTCAATAAGTCTTATGTTTAAGTTCCTGCCAGTTTCCCCGATACCAACGTTTGAGATAGTTGTTTTTGTTGTGTAGAGTGTCCAGTGAATCACAAATGATTTGTGCACGTCTTGTTAATGTTCTGATTGTGGTGGCTTTGCGTGATGCAGGGTTGTAAGATGATTGGTCTAGTAGTCGGTCAGTGTGTGTTGGTTTGCGATAAACTGTTATTCGTAGTTTGTGATTGTCCTGTTTTATCAAACAGTCGAGAGAAGGAAGTGTTCCGTTTTCTTCGACATCTCTGGTAAATTGTATGTGGCTGTTCTGTTTGTTGATGTGAGTGTGAAAGTCATCAATTTCGTCTGCATGTAGTGCTGTGATTGTGTCATCTACGTAGCGGAACCAAAAAGGTGGTGCATCTTTGTAAGTCATGAGCGCCTCTATATATTGCATTACAATTTCAGCAACTACAACAGAAACGGGTGAGCCCATTGCTGTTCCATGTAATTGTTTGTAGTGTGTACCTTTGTACTGGAAGTAAGTTGAGGTGAGGCAGAGCTCTAGCAACTCCATAATGTCTTCTGTCGGTAATGGCAGTACGTCGTGGTGTTTGTAATGAGAGTTTTTGTACAAAGAAGTGCCAGATTAAGTGGAATACTCGTGAACAATGATTTCACATAAAAGACACTAGTATATAGTTGTCCGGTATTTGTATAGTGCTTAATTTTTTAATGAAATTTTCAGTGGATTGTAGCTTGTGTTTTGATTTGCTTATAAGTGGTTGCAGTATGTCAGCCAAGTAGTTTGAGAGTTCGTAAGTAGGCGAACCACAGAATGATACAATTGGTCGCATGGGTATTTTTGGTTTGTGAAGTTTTGGTAGTCCGTATAGTCTGGATGGTCATGGTACTGAACATCTAAGTCGATAGTAGACACGTTCAGATATAATGTTAGATTTTCTCATAGAGAAGATCTTGCTGTTAAGTTTGCGTACTAGTGATGGTGTTGGGTCTCGTTTGAGTTGTTCGTACGTTTGTCTGTCGCTAACAAGGGTGTCCATTTTGTCGAAGTAATCATTCCTGTCCATGAACACAGTCACGTGTCCTTTGTCTGCTGGTAAAATGACGATGTTGTTGTCGTGTTTTAGTCGTTTGAGTGCATGTTGCTCGTCCTTTGTCAAGTTGTTGTCACGTATAGAGGTAAAAACAAGGATTTGAGCCTGGGAAGGCACCTGAGCACCGCACCAACAACTATACCTCTCATCCAGACGAGAGACAGTCGCTGGAAACAGTTGGAAATTGGAAATTATATTCAAATCGGGAAACATTACATGCCGGGCGGGAACTATTATTCCTCAACGAAAATGGTTGATAACCACAAAAATAAGACCATGCTGGAGATGTACAATATTAAACGCGCCCGCGCGCACACGAGTGCCATAGACCATTTAATAACATGGCGGATAAATCATCAGTGGTATGTTTCACTTCAGTAAAGAGGCATATACAACCACAAATACAACCATCCGACTGGTGCAGCTTAAGTAAGACATTTCAGGCTTTAATTTAGTTCATTTTTAAAATTTCATGTATGAGAACAATATTTCTTCGTGCATCCATGTTTTTTAGGAGTTTGCAACATCAAACGTTCGAATCAAGGCACCACAACCGACCAACAGGGTTCACTCAGTACTCATAAATATCTATGTGAGAAGTCTGACTCGGAGATTGGTACTTAGACTAATTATAGTCTAGTATTGTTAATTCAAGAACACAGTACTGGACTACTGGTTTTTGTTAATTGGGGTATTTTTGGATTACATCTGCTAAATCTATCAATTCAGAAATAAATTCAGACGCTCATATGAGTTCTTTTACAATAACGTTGGGAGGAAAGGGAACACACGAATCGATGATATGGTATGAATTTTGAAAGTGTTCTTTTTATTATTTGTAGTTGCACAAATTCATATTAATTTACATTTATTGTTAATTGTGCTCAAATATTAATTATGTGTTCAACTTTATTTATGCCCACAAAATTTGTGTAGGAAAAAACAATTATTCTGAAAACATTTTCCAGTTTGAAGTCTGTGTTCTCTATTTCCTTCAATAACAATGTCATATATCATTATATGTTAATAGAATAGCAGTGTGTCATATGAATGTCGATTTTTTGAGCAAGAAAGTGAATTGGGTGATTTGGTTTACATGTATTGTATAAATATGTAGATGGAAAAATATATTATGTTCATGGTTTTTCTCTCATTTATATGTAGAATGAACAAAGTGAACATATTGCTAACAGTTATGACAAGCACCTAGAGTTAACCATCAAACACAAGTTTGTAATGTACATATTGACATTGTTTCTCATAAAAAGTCATTGGAGATGGTTATATGTATGAGTGCTTTCAATTGAAATAAATGAAAAATTTTGAAGTAATTCAAAGAAGGCATGTATTATTTTAACCCATATTAAAAGTATGCACATATTTTAAATTTAATAATGTTCTTTATTTTGTAGGATTTGGTGCCATCTTGAGGTAGTATTTGTTCTTGTGGTTCAGAGTGAAATAGATGTTCTATTCAAGATGAATGGTTGTACCTAGACTTGTGTTCAGTTTCGTGCTTTTATTCAATCTATGATGTGAAAGGTAAGTTCTGATTTGTTACAGGTTGCAATTCACTTCATAATTATTTGACTTAAATAAATTATTTAGTGTATTGTAGACCTTGCTCCTCATGTGCTACGAAAAAGCACTATGAAGGCTTGAAGACAGGATTGTATGGTTCGGATCATAAGCAATATCTCTTGCCGTTCCAAAAGATTGCATTCGACTTTTCATAACATCCAGGTACTTTTTAATGAAAATATGCCGAAGCATTAGTAGCTACGTTTTTCCATTATTCAATTTCTTACCCTGTCTCTATTGAACGTTCTTTTTTTGTTCAGTTTACCTATGTGCAAATATTATAACAATCATGGTTATATATGCCAAAAACTGGCATATTTATATTTCTATATTCTTCTAAGCAATACAACACCTTCAGCATTCCTTCACTATTTTAAACTTAAACTTACAGTGTCTCTCGAATTCTACGTTCTAACAACCATGGTTATATATGCCGAAATCTTGCATATTTGTATTTCTATATTCTTCTAGGCAATACAAAACGTGACGATCTCTTCCAGCCTAGACGGCTGTCTCTATGCTATATGCGATCAAAAGAAGTCCTTTGAAGCCAAAAAGTGGGCTGTTTAATCGCAAACTTACTCGAGAAGAGAAGTTACTTTCTAGATTGAATCATGAAAATATTGTAAGGTAAGAGGAAATTTATCATCCAAAATGAATCAAAATTTTATAACATAATGGTTCAAAGCGAGGTTCAATTTAGACGATACAAATTTCTTGGCTTATTAAATATTATCTTTGTAGAAACTATTATAAGAAGGTAGATAATCCCTTTTTTCCATGAAGCCCATGGATGCTTTCGTTCATAATGAGAGGGTCATATTGTATAAGGAGGCTCTCGCTCATCACGAGAGAGTTATGAGAAAGTTACATTGTAAAAGGTAACAAATAAAAAACGTATAAACATGCTTAGGGTCGGTTTAAGTTTTGAGTCGAATAGGCAGAAGTTGTTTGAACCTTTGCAGTATCCTTGGATGTTCAAGTTTTCTTTTTGAGAAGAATTCTGTTAAAGAAAAAAGACAAATTTTGAAAATATGAAAATCCCGTTTTCGGTCCATGTCTCCCGATACCCCGAGATAGTTGAGCACTAGAGCGTCTCATGTTAATTAATGGAACCAGATAATCCTGTCAGTCATGAAGCCCATGAATGGTTTGCTCGTGTTAAGCGTAAGGCACTAGAACGCCGCATGTTAACGTTTCGGTAGGAGATTTCGGCCCCTCCACGCTATCCTACTTGGCGATGCCAAGTCTTTGCTCGGGGTACGCTGAGAGCGTGCGTACACTACCGAAGTCCGGCAGCGACCGCACCCAGCTTCCACTGCTAGTTGACATCTACTATATAAAGTATTTACTTTATATATATATATACACAAATTCAAAGGCTTACGAAAGTTGTGGTATAATTGACATTGTTACTGCGCATGCCCAGATGATTTCTTTGATAATTTGCCACTAAGTGAATTAATTGCGACAAATGTAGTGCAAGTACATGTAGTTAGTCGTTGCCATGAATATGAGCAATTAGTCGAGTTTACTGCGCATGCGCTCGAGCGATTGATTTCTATTAAATGATTTCTATTAAATTGTTACTTGCTATTTACTCAAAATTAGTGCTAGTAGATGTAGTTACTACGCATGCGCAGATGATTTCTATTAAATTGTGACTAAGCTATTTACTTAAAAATTGGTGCTAGTAGATGTAGTTAGTCGTTGCCATGACCATGAACTATGGCAGCTGGTCAAATCGACTGCGCATGCTCAAAGAGACTACGCATGCGCAAATGATTTATCTGAAAATTTGTGACGGAGCGAGCTAATTACTCCATAATCGGTAGTAGGGCATACACTTGGTCGTTGCCATGACCATGAACACGAAGAGTTGGTGCAGTAGACTATGCATGCTAAGATTAATTCTCAAAAATTTTTGTTTATAAATGCGCTTAGCAAATTTTCAATCATATATTTTTGACACGCTGTTTATCTTTTTAAGCTTGTTTGACAAATGCATGTCAAACTCATAAACACTTTGTTACGCCACTCCTAATATCTTTGACATTGTTAAAGATGTTTTTCTTTTTCTACATAACTTTTTATCTACATATTTAATGCCTATACCTCATATCCTGTAATATTTATGACAGACTATAAATTTCTCGGATTGAGGTAGAAGAAATACTGGAAAATGAAACTTCCAACAATGAAACAAAATCAAGAGTGACAGAGACGAAAGAATGTCTCACTACACAGTTTTTCTTTGAGAATATCTTGAATGAAATTTTCTTTTTCGTCACAACAGGAGATTTATTTTTCGACAGTTGTTGAGAGTTTGTGTTTGTTTATATCGGCTGTTGTTAGGAGTTTTTCGCTTTTTTCTATTTTTGTAATAACGCTATTTTAAACAATAAATGCGACTTCTGATGTGTTGGCCACAAGTCAAAACAGGAACTAATTTGCCAAACATGTCTATGACCATTGACTATAAATAATGTCTAAGTTCACAACCTTAGAAAGAATTGCATGAAGACAGCGTGTCTTAAGTATGATTTATCGTCTTTTGTATGGAAATTTTTAACAATATTTTTATGGTTAAGGATGTAAATCGTCCAAGCTACTGCAGGGCTAACTGTTGACTTTTGGTGTTGACTAATGTTTTGACAACCTAACAGTAGTTATCTTCAATGAGCTGATTATTTTTAGCCTTCATAATACAATGGTTGACTAGTATGTTAAAATGATATGTTTCTTTACGTACTTTAAAAAAGTTTTGAAGCAAAATAATTTTGACAAACATAAAATTATGTGCTTGAATCAGAAAAAAATTTATTGCCTAAATTTGTAAGCTAGACATTCTCCAGCAAAGATCGATTTTGGGACCGCTTTAACCGTGTAATGATGTAAATAATGTGCGCATAGGATTTATCTAGATTTATGTACTACATTAGCGTCAAAGGAAATAGCCTATACTAGACTCCCAGTTTTTCTCAAACGCGCACTTTGTTGTAAAGAACAAATGTTGTAAAGAACATCTTCACTAATAAGTAAATATGACTCTCAAAAAGTATAGTATTTCAGTACATTGTCTAATGTTTGGACGTAACTTTGGAACTTGGAATAACATATTACGATTAAACTGCTTTAACTTATTCTTTGCGTTAATGACATTGTTAATTGTGAAAATCATAGTGCAAACATAATAAAGTGCTACAGATGATACCATCCTATTTTTTTAATTGGGTGAAATATTCTAGAGATATTGATAATCAACTGATTTTAATATTGGATACTGTTGAAGACATTATAAATATATGATTATACCTTTACTGGTGTATTCAAATATAATAACTTTTCGAAAAAGAGTTAAAAGACTGCAAGATAGAGTTACATTGATATTTAAAATAAACGAACTTGAAGAATACCTGACCTGATGAATGGACAATTTTGAAATTTTTGTAATACAATTCTCTAGAATGTATTGATATCAACACTAGCAGTATTTTCAAAAATTATTTCGAGCGCCTACAACCGGAGAAGAATACGCGTAATAATGATTTTAGCCTTAAACTTCCAGAAGTAATAAAAGGATGGAAATTTGCTTGTCATTATAATAGGATTATATGCAATTATATAAATTACTCTATAATATTGGAAGTTTAAAACTATAGAAAACTATACAGTATTTTTTAGCTTTGATTATATTTAAGCCTAGTTGTATTCTTCTTTTGCATTTTAATATATAGTTGCAGGATTTTAGTCAATTTTTGAAATTTGTACATTTGAAAATAGCTCTCTCGAATGGTTAAATTTCATTCTTCATAAATTCACTAACAATAGCATTGTTATGGTAGCATAAAAATTTATGTAAACTGTTATAATTTAATGTCCTGTGTACAATTTTTCTATGGTGTTTTGTAAAGAACAATTAATATTCAGAGCCAAAGCTAGAACAGTAATTGGGGACAGGGGGAAGAGGTGTTTACTCATATATTCACTTTGTGCCAGGCTAGGTAATTTTCGTTGAAAGTGACTTTGCTTTCTATAGAAATTATACGGGAAAATACATGTAAACATTCCCCAATTAATATAGCCAACTTGGCGAATTAGCAAAGTCTCTCTCTGAAGCAAAAACAATGACATGTTTTTAGATCAATGTTGAATAAATACGTCGCTTAAAAAGAGTAGTCAAAAAATTTCAAACAATAACATTTCTTATAGCATAAAATTATATAGTTACAAATGACACAAGAATTGTCCTAATGTCCAAATTTGCTGCACAGCAGTATTAACTTATCATCATAATCTATATTTAAATACTATGACATACATTACCAGAATGAACGAATTAAGATAATTTGTTAAATACGTAATGAAGGGAACATTTATCATTAAGTTAAACTTGCACCTCCCCCCCCCCCATCCTTTACAACGTCCTCGATCTTTGAAATGGCCAATTCGATTAAAATTTTTCTAAAAGAAGAAAATTAAATTTATGTTAAAATTAAACAATGAAAATATCCATGAAAAAGAATATCGCTTTGTCTTGTTTGAAATTTGGTAAAATAATGTTTGTTAGATATAAATTTCAAAAATACTAAGCCCTTAATAATCGAGCTCGAGGTCTTTACGGAGAAATAACGGACCGAGGTGTTTTTGTATAGACCGAGCCCGTAGAGCGAGGTTTGTACAAAAAGACAGAGTTCCGATATTTCTCAGTAAAGACCGAGAAAACGAGGTTATTAAAAGGATTATTATATGGCA